GATTGAGGGCTCACATTTCCATTGCTATCAAAAGAGAGAGAGGAGGAAACCAGGGTTGGGCTCTTAAACCCAGGGGAACACCATGAGCTGCCTTTTTGGGACTTGGCATAGCCAGCACAGAGGGGATTCAGGCAGCTAGTGAGTGGCCTGCTGTGTGATGGTGGCTGGGTGGCTGCTGCACTGGACATATGGGATTCAGTTTAGTGCTCAGGCTGCTGCAGGGCAAACACCTGGAGAAACATGGTTGGGCTCAATTGTTCTCTCTCCTTTCCTAGGAAAAGCCAGGAAGGAAAAGGCCCCAGCCTGAGGGGAGGGTATTGTCCACTAAGGAGTGGGTTAAGCATGATCAGGTAATTGGGTCTGGCAGGGAGCCTGTAGGATCAGGGTCCTCAGGGCCACTGTGGCTGAGCCTGGGAGCTGCTTTCCCCAGAGGGCCTCATCCTGATCCTGTCTTTCCCAGGTTACCTCTGAAATGATCACACATCCTTTCCACCCCCGTGTAAAATCTCTGCTAAGATGCCAACCAATTCTCCAAAGTTCCATCTCTCTTTTCCCTTTTACATTTTAAAACATTTTTATTGTTAATATTGTTGACATAGTTGAGAAGGATGAATGCCCATGTGGGTCTCCAACTAGGGCGGGGAAGGTCGTCTTCTCCTCCTTCTAGTGCTTCCCCCTTCTGCTTTCCCTTTCCTATCTTAGTCTGGTGAGTCCCTAGGCCACCAGAAGCAAAGTGAACAGACCCAGGACGTCAACAATCCCTGTGCGGCCCTGCAGCTGAGAGCTTCCCTTCTCCAGGGATGTGGGAGGAGCTGCTGTCAGCTCCCATTTCTCTCTGTTTGGAACAATGCTCCATACTGGCACCTGTCAGGGCTTAAAGGATTTCACAGGCCCTTTCTCACTGCTTCTCATAACCCTTATGATTCGTTGAGGATGAGGCCTCTGAGGCTGGGTGGCGCACGGCTCTGCCAAGGGTTACCCAGGGTTGTGTTACAGATTCCAGTTCTGGAGGAAGAAGTCTGGTATACAAGTAGGTAGATTAACCTGGATTTGAATCCATCTCAGAAACATCCCATCTGTGTGCCACCCTGAGCAAGGGAGGTAACCTGTGGAGATTCAGCTTCCTCATCTGTAATAAAGGATGATAATGACTACTCACAGAGGTGGGATGAGCATTCATTATGAGCCTCACATGGTGGGGGCCCGGCAAGCAGAAGCCCATGAAATGTCTAAGTGCCCTCTAGTATCCTGCCAGTTCCAAATTAAGGACTAACCTTTAAGCCACATAGTAGGCACTGAATAAACATCAGATGAATGGGTGATAAAACTCATTTGTCCATCTCTCCCTAAGTGACAGGATGTTTATTTGCAGCTGCAAGCCACAGGGAGCTCGGCAAACAAGGAGTGGCAGCAGTAACTTTCCCCAGCTGGTACAATTAAAGGCCACGGGCCCTGGAGCTGGCTCCCGGCAGATACCCAGCAGCTGGGACAGCTGCCAGGCAGCAGGCTGATAGCTGCAGGCACTCCCCTCAAGGTCTCTGGGGAGAAGGAGGCTGACTGGCTTGCACCCTCTTTGCCAGCCTTGGTTTCCTGCAGCCTGAGGTTGCTCTCCTGGGAGAGACAGCAGACCTCTTGCAGGACAGTTCTCTGGTATTGCCTCAGGTGCTGCTGTGAGTCCCGCATGACTGACCTCCTGAATGCTTACAGGTGAAAGGCACCTGTAAATGCTTACAGGTTAAGGTTAAGCGGACATGTGACCCAGAGCCCATGGCAGTTGCTCAGGCAACCCTCCTGTCCCCTTTGACCTGAGCAATGCCAGCCTCCTCTATACTAACTGCTGGTTTTCCAGGAACATCGTTGTTGGAAGAAAGGGACTGGTCCTTATGTTGCTTCAAAACACAACCCTCAGACCATTGACCTAATGCAACCTCTCATAATTCACAAGGGAGCTGTAGTACACAGGAGGCATGTGACCTACCAAGGTCGCACAACCCTGCAAGGTGGAGACAGTGCTGTACTCTTGGCCCTCCCCTGCTTTCTCTGGCATCAGCTCACTGATTTGGACTTGGGGTCCCAATATGCAGGTCCTCTCCCCTACTCAGTTTGTAACTCCAGTGGGCCTGGGGTGGGGTGTTCTGCTAACAGCAATATTGAAGGATCCTGCTGAGAACTGAAGGCAGCAATGAGAAACCAAGGGAACAACAGGGAAGCCAACCCTCCCATTCCCCCCCAGGGCTTCAGATGCCTCCACTAACCAGGCACACTTCCTTCTGGGCCATAGGCACCCAGCTGATAGGGCACGTTTCCCCCTTCCCTCCCCCTCCTGCCTCAATCCTGTTTTCTTTATCCTTCACTTACTTTCCACGGAGCGCTTTAAGCCTAGTATCCATCTAGGAGCTCCTCCTGGGCTTGTGGCAAGGTCTCAGGCTGATCCTCAAGAGAAATCCCAGCAAAGGTGGATGGCATAAAAAAGACAAAGTTAAATGAGAACAAACAAAATTCGTGTTTCTAAAACAGTGATCTAGAAGATTTAGTGTGTACTTACACAAATCGCTGGAAAGTGTTTTGTAAGCACACCAAGATACTTGGCAACGTGCACATGAAGACTGGTCTGACCTTCAAACATGGCTCTTGCCTGGTTCCTCAGGCACCTTCAGCCCGGCTCAGCCAGGCCTGCCTCTGCTGCCTTGATGTTGGTCTCGTCTCTAAGGTCAGCCTCCGCTTCTTGCTTCTGGTGAGGTAACCTGGATCTTGCTTCACAGAGATGCTTCCTTCCTTCCCTAAGACTTGTGTCTGCTATGAGATGTCCTCAGCCAGCATTTCAGAGACAATCTGTGTGGGGAGAATTAGGTGGATTATCTGCGCTCCTCCTTAGCTGTTTTAGGTGTGTGCGTGAGTGTAGTTTTTACTAATGAGTCTGGAAATGATTCATGCCGTGAAGCACTGGTTCCATGAATGACCAATCTGCAGACTTGTGCCAACTGAGAAACTTATTAAAATGCAGATTCTCATACTGCATGGGAGATGTGCAGTATATAAACCTGGGCGAACTCAAGCCAAGAGCATTAGTGTGGTGTGACAATGCTGGGCAGGACTCTGGAGCCCATACTATTCAGATTCCTAGATGACTCTGATAAAGCTGAGTGTTTGCCAGGTTGGGAATGGCTGTCCTGAAGACTGATCCCGTGTCTCTGGACTGGTAATAAACTGGATCATACCATTACTGCTTTACAAGCATTACATCTACACTGAATTTCCTTAGGTGGGGGAAGCATATTTTTATTTGAGAATAGATGCCAAGCTCTTTGCTATTTATATGCATGATCAATTCCCTTTAATAACCTTTGGAAATAAAATGCTATTCTCATTGAGCATGAGAACTCTGAGGGTCTAAGAAACGTGTTTTAGTTCATACCTGTTGTCACAACAGAGCTAGAATCTAATCTCTGACTTAATGGTTCAGAGTCCATGACCTTGCTGTTTATTGGAGAGCATGAATTGGTGGCTTGTACATGGTGTGCAAGTTTTTCATTTGGGAAATGCAAGTTCTGAAATTTAAAACCCTTAGTCACCAACAATTCTAATGTGGATATTTTACATTAATATCTGTATTTTGGCTTCTCTTTAAAGAAAGAAGATCTGGTTAACTCTGGGCCTAGATCCCTTTATGGCAACAATTCCATGGAGCCTGTAGTGGGTTATGTGTTTATAACTCTCCATACTTCCTGGCACTCCCATTCTCACCCCCTGCTCTTATACTCTATTCCCTACCTGGTCCTAAGGCCCTCCTTTCTTGCTTCCCAGTGGTCAGCTTTGCGCTTGTTCAGGCTTCCATGAGTCTCTCTGAGCAAACTCTTGTGATTTCAACCCTTGGGAACCTCCTGGTTCGTGTTTCCCAAGTCACATTCTGGCCTGTCCCAGTAACATTTTGAATTTAGCTGGGGGAAATGTGGCAGCAGACTATCTATTTGCTCTATTAACCCCAGAGGCCAAAGACCCCTCTCAATCTGGGACCACTGGGAAACCAGGAACAAAATGCTTGCCCATTTCCATTAGTGGGTCCTTTCAAGGCTGCTGCTTTAAAAGCCAGGAACATAAATGGGTACTTCATAATCTGTGCTTCATCTTTTAGAATTTTATTTATTTATTTTAAAAAGACTTTTTTTTTTTAAATTGGAAAGTCAGGTATACAGAGAGGAGGAGAGACAGAGAGGAAGATCCCCTGTCTGATGATTCAGTCCCCAAGCGGCTGCAATGGCTGGAGCTGCACTGATCCAAAGCCAGGAGCCTGGAGCCTCCTCTGGGTCTCCCATGTGGTTGCAGAAACTCAAGGCCCTGGCGTGTCCTCGACTGCTTTTCCAGGCCACAAACAGGGAACTGGATGGGAAGTGGGGCCACTGGAAACAAAACGGCGCCCATATGGAATCGTGGAGCGCGCAAGGTGAGCATTTTAGCTGCTAGGCTACTGCGCCAGGTCTAAGTATTCTAATTTTATAGGTTACAAATATGGGTTGAGGGTGAAGGATCTAAAGCTCTAAAATATTAGTTTTTTTTCTCGACACTGCAGACTGCCTCCTGGGACATATTGCATATCTCCTGCAGGGTGAACAGAATCTGACAGATCAGCCTCAAGTTTTATATCAGGGACATGACTTCCAAGTACTCCTAAAAACTTCAGGTCAGTGCAAGACTTTTTAATGAATGAGACATTTTCCTTTTATTTACTTTATCTCATAATCTGTATGAAAACAACTATAAGATAATCTATATCAATTCCCAGTTGACTTTCCCACTTCTCTCCCATCCCATGCCAAACCTTATGCCTTTTAATAATTTCTGAATTTGAGCGTACATTTAAATCAAATTCACCTGGTCAGCGCAGGTACCTTGCTTTGCCTTCAATAAAGTTTCCATCCCATCAGAGACACAGTATCCACTCTATAAATCGGATGGCTATTCTTCAAGCAGGCGAATTAAAAACACAATTACAGATGGAAAGCTAAAGAACTCGACTTTTTGCTTTTACTTGTATGAAGAGAAACAGCACAAAGAGGCATCCACAGTATTTAATTTGTTTGGATAATGTTACAGATAAACAGGTACACTCCATATACAATTACCAATACTTTTTTATACAGCTCATATTTCAGTACACCAACACTGTCTTATTTACACTCTATGTACATTAACATCTTTCTAAAGTCAGTGCATTGTCAACAAGTTTTATACAGAAATTTACAAGGTGACTGTAGTTAATAGTTAATTTAATAAACTTTCTGCTAGTTCATGAATTAAAAAATTAATTACAACCAATATAACAAATAGATCAAACAACATTAGTAGATAGTGCTACCTGCTTAAATAAAACATTTGTAAAGAAATTATTTAAAATCTTCCACTTTTGGTGGGATTTGTCCAAGTAGGAATGGACAGGTTTTATATACTGAAAATCCTGACACTATAATGTTTTTTGTCTGACTTCATTACATTATACCATTTAGGTCACACATTCCTACTTGCAATTATATTCTTTTTAATATAAGCAGCAATTTTTAAGACATTTTTTTTTTCCAAACACTCTAAGAAGAGATATTTACTGGCCTCATATATCAGAATACAATTACATTAGAACATACTACCTACGAATAAGGAAGAGCAAGGAAATCTGACAATGAATGGGAATCAACCTGCAGAGTCTAAATGAATACATGAGAACCTGGGGGAGAGAAAAGGCTAAATGTTTCCTTTGAATATACACTTAAAAAAAAAAAAACCAGGAAAAAAAAAAGCGCTGCTCAAAATAAATAACATTTATACTTTTGTTCCAGTCTTGAATAATTGAAGGAAAAAATGAAGTAAGCAAAGAAACATAACTCTTGATGACTAGTATAAACAAAAACAAAAAGGACATGCAAATAAAACTAAAGGTTACTTCTTAAAACCTTCAATTTCATTAAAAATACTTTATAGCACTACTCATGTTTGGGATGTGTTATGTTTCTGAATTTACTATGATGGGGGAAAAGTACCCTAGTGGAGTTAATTTATAGCCCTTAGAGCCATCAAATATAGACTAGTACATTTGTATCCATTCTCTCTCATTAAAGTGCAACACAAAGATAAAAACCACCACTCATTGTGAAACAGCCAGCTCTGACACTGCTGACCCTCCCAGAAGCCCTCTGTGCAATATGTGCATGGTAAGATGGTGCAAACATTGGCAATCATCCCCTTAGATGCCACTCTTGGCAGTGGGGGAGGGAGCACACTTCTGAGGATGCTGTCTTCCTACTGGGTTTCCCAGGGTAGAAGGCACATCGTTCCTCTGAGACTCTTCAGACGGCCCACTACATGCCTCTGCCACCAATGACCGGTTGTGTCTCCAACACGAACACAACAATAGAAACAAAAAGAAACAAAGAGCAGGGAAACAATTTTAAAAATAAAAAAATCTGCTTCCATGCAGTAAGTATCATTTGCACACCTTCATGATCTTGTTTTTCTTGCTTTTTTCCTCTTGTCAATACACTGGAATAAAACTTCAGGAAAAAGGAGGTAGCATGTCATGTCGTCCCCAGACAACACTACAACTTTTTTTTTTTTAATTTTTACTCCAAGGAAAGCTTTAGTATTTTGTTATGATTATTAGTAAACTCTATACTCACTACACATTTGTTCACATCTTGACAAGCACAGTTAAATTCTTATTTGGTCCCAGATGGCTGGTGCCAAATTCTTTTGCTTACAGGCTAATGGTGGAATTTTGCCTGAAAGGTCTCTAGTGGAGAGCCTGTATGAGACTTCAAAACAAAATTATTACTACTCTTAAAGGTAACTGCTATTTTAATTAGGAATTTTATTTTGTGCTTCAGGGTCATAGGATAAAATAACTACATTTAGCTTGCCTTTCACTGATGCCTTTGCCAAATGTCAGCTACAAGGACTCCTCTCCCTCACCAACAGTCTGTCTAGCAGCCAGAGTGGTACTCTACTGTAACACACAGTACTTTTTATAATCGGACTCAAAGTCTTCGTCCATGCTGCTTGTGTCCGCCATCTTTTTGCCATCGATCTTAGGCAGGAATTGTGCACAATCTATCCCCTGTTGCTCATAGAAAAGAATGTAGGCAGAATCGGTGTCAATTTCATCAGGGTGAAGTTCCTAAAACAGTAAGGAAAGCTTTTAACACAAAAGCTGACCATTGCTTTGCTGGCTCTTCCTTCTCACCTGAGGAACAAGACCCACCTCCCCATCCTCCCCAATCACTAAATCTTATTTCCTCCCATCAATTTAATATGTTTGCTGCCTCATGCTTGTCCCTAAAGAAAACTTTTTTACCTAGCTTTGGAACAGCTCAATTCTAGCCATTGTGGCTACATGGGAAGTGAACCAGCAGATGGAAGATCTTTTTTTCTCTTTTCTCTAGTGTCTTTGTAAATTTGTGTCTAGTGTCTAGTGTTTTTGTAAATTTGACTTTCAGAGAAAAAAAGATCTTCCATCTGCTGGTTCACTTCCCATGTAGCCACAATGGCTGGGACCGAGCTGTTCCAAAGCTAGGTACCAGCTGATTCTTCCAGATCTCCCATGTTGGTGCAGGGTCTCAAGGCTTTGGGCCATCCTTTACTGCTTTTCCAGGCCACAAACAGGAAGCCTGATGGGAAGTGGAGCAGCTGGGATGTGAACCAGCATCCACATGGGAACCAATGCTTGCAAGGCAAGGACTTTAGCCACTAGGTTAACTGTTCTGGGTCTTTGGGAAAAATATTCTGCTGACAAAGAAGTTCAAAGAACAATCTAAAACCACATGAAATTCTACTAGTTCAAAGATAAGAGCATCTTCCTGTTAAGTAAAAAAAATAGCTTCCTTTCCCCCCACTATTTGTATTTTTATTCCTTACTCTGGGTCTCATATTACTCTCTTGACAAGTGTCAACCTCTCTGTGCTGAACCTAACAAAAGCATCTATTTCTTTTTGTGGAGTGTCTATTACTTCTGTAAGTGCTCCCACAGATCTGTTGGAATGTTTCCCAATTTTCATTGAAAGATAAGAAATAATTTACCTTACAGCTGCTGTCATTGTAACAGTACCACTTGCAGTTTGGATTTTTGGCATATGTGACGTAATGACCCCCACCCAGAATTCCTGAATGGCACTGCAAAGACAGAAGAGAAAAGGTTATGAACAGCTAATAGACTGTGGTCAGGACAGCAACAGAATCTGAGCAGAATAACACTGACTACTGAGGTGGTTAAGAAAAAAGGTTTGGAATCTAATTTTGTTCCTAAACCAAAATAAACCAAAATTCAGAAAGCCCTAAATTCCAAATCTTGTGTGAACAGATAACAAGACATTGTGTAGCTGTAATCAAGTTTTAGAAAACAATAATTCCTCAGGAGCAAACAATTATGAAAGACTTAAATCTGTGACTCCATTTGTAATAACCACATGACTGTCTCTTGCACCACCCCGTGAGCTCCTAGAATTCTGTCTGGGAGGGCAATTAAAAAAACAAACCAGACAAAAAACAAACAAACAAAAAACTTGCTTATTTTAAAGGCAGAGTTAGAGAGAGACAGAAAGACAAATCTTCCTCCATACACACTGTTCACTTCCCAAATAGTTGCTACGGCTAGGCCAGTCTGAAGCCAGAAACCAGGAGCTTATTTGAGGTCTCCCATAGGCGTGTAGTGACACGAACGCTTGGTCCATCTTTTGCTGCTTTCCCAAGGACATCAGCATGGTGCTGGATCAGCAGGATCTCAAACCGGCATCCATATGGGATACGGGCATAACTAGTGGCTTTGCCCACTGTGCCACAATGTCAGCATCCAGAAGCAAAAATTTTGACTGCCTTTCTCTACCATCAAGCTCAGTGCCTTAAAAACCAAACAGGCTTGAAGATGCTTGTTGGTGAATGAATGAAGGCAAGTGAACAAACCAGTGACAAATAATAACTACTTTGAAAACCACACAACAATCTACTTACCGAGATTGCATAAAGATTATAAATGGGCTTAATACGAGTATCATCTCTTTGGTCATCGATGCTGTCTTCTTCACTGTGGTTTCCAAGCTGACCATTGCTATAGCCATTGCTACATGCCTCATGCTCATAAAGAAATCCATTGGCCAAAGCTACCTCGTGGTCCTGAGGGGTGACAAGTTCAGGCTGGCTGCCTCCCAGTATATGCATTCGGTTTAAAGCATCAGTCAGTTCACAGATCTGCCCAGCCCCATTTTCTCTGCAGGCATCTAAGTTCTCTTTACTACTTGACAGTTTATTTTTGCTGCCAATCTGGGGCAGCCGGAGCCTCCCTCTGCTTCTCCCCAAAGTCCTTGGGCTGCTGTTAGGGCTACTGTTTTTGCTGGAGGGACAGCTGGTTCCACTCTTTCTTGATGAAGAAGGTGAACCTGTGAAAGGGAGAGAAGGTTCACAAATCCAAACTCAGCAAGTCAGGTCAGACAGTAAACACGACCTGTGAGGCTAACTTCACTAATATACACACCAAAGTAAAGATAGAAGAGTCCTGACTAGCCACTCTTTACTTCTTATTATGTAGCTAAAACGTGACATGTAGATGGCAATGTCCTGAGATACAAATACATTATAGAACCCTAAAAAATAGGAAAAAGGAGATTGTCAGGCTGAGTTCAAAACAAAGTAATTGTTAGACTAAGAAAACATGACCACCATTTATGATGTATTACTATTAAGCATGGCCTTATCTCTCACCATAGTCTTGTAAGCAGTAGGTCTTAAACTCTTTGGTGACAGCCCCCTTGATCCCTCTTACTACCCTTAAACATTGCAGAGGACCCCTAGAACTTTGGGAAAAGAGTAATTTCGTTCCTTCAGAGCCTCTGAAATGGTCTCAGGGATGCTTGGGGTGTCCAGCAGACTACACTTTCAAGGCTGCAGGGACACAAGGGTGACCATATGGTGCTCATCTCCTGTACACCAGGCCTTACATTCCATGAACTCGGTAACATTTCTACTTCACAGATGATAAAATAGAATGGACAGCCTGAGTTGTTTCCTAAAAGCCACCCAGCTTTGATTCCAGAGAGGTTCCTTCTGCCCCATTTTCCCTCCCAAGCCACTGGATGCTGACAGAGCTGCTCCAGGAGGAGGGCGGCTCACCTTTCGGGCTCCCGACGATGTTCGCGCTGAGGGAGGACGGGCTCTTGCTGAGTGGCACGTCCTCCTCCCCAGCTGAGCTCTGGGCATCCACCCTCTTCACCTCTCCTGCCGGAACCCGCGGCTCACACCGGTCATCGCCCTGGGCTGTGAGGAGTTTACGCTGGCAGAGAGCAGGGTCTCTTGGTACCAAAAAAGCACTAGGGTCAAAACTCTCACGAGGAAATTTAACAATTTTCTGTGATTTTATCCATCGACCATTTACAAACTGGAATCGTTTAAGGTGAATAATCTGGAGAAGGAAAAGGTGAAAACATCTGCTTCAAAGGGTTCTCAAGTTACAAACTTTATATTTAAAAAACAAGACTAATACAGACTCATGTCCAGCAACAGTAACATTTACTCATTATTCTCTAAAGACTTTAAAAAATATGGTTTCTACAAAGACATTCACTTTGTAATTTTCTAAATATACATTTTTTCAAACCATTTAAAATATATTTTTTCATTTTATTTGCAATGCAGAGAGACAAAGATGAAAACAGACAGACAGAGAGCTTCCATCTGCTGGTTCACTCCCCACATGCCTGCAGGGTTGGGACAGATGGATGATAGGAGTCTCCCACTGGGGTTACGAGGACCCAAGTATTTGAGCCATCACCTGCTGCTTCCCAGAGTGCTTGTTGGCCAAAATCTAAGCACAGCAGCCTGGACTTTTTTTTAAAGATTTATTTATTTTTATTGCAAAGTCAGATATACAGAGAGAAAGATCTTCTGTCTGCTGACGCACTCTCCAAGTGACCACAACGGCCGGAGCTGAGCTGATCTGAAGCCAGGAGCTTCTGGGTCTCCCACACAGGTGCAGGTTCCCAACTGCCTTCCCAGGTCACAAGCAGGGAGCTGTATGGGAAGTGGAACGGGGCTGCTGGGATTAGAACCGGCACCCATATGGGATCCTGGTGTGTTCAAGGTGAGGATTTCAGCTACTAGGCTACTGCACCAGGTCCCAGCAGCTTGGACTTGAACCACGCAATCTATATGGGATGCAGGTATCTCAAACACATGGATATCTTAATTACTACATCACATGTTACCCCCATGATGTTTTATGTGATGGTTATATGAATATACACAATTGTCAAAACTCATCAAACGGGGTATTTAAGAACCTAAACATTTAGTTGTATGTTTGTTTATTTTTAAGATTTATTCATTTTAAAGAGTCAAAGAGAGAGCGAGAGCGAGAGCGAGAGCGAGAGAGAGAGAGAGAGAGAGAGAAAGATCTTCCATCCGCAGGCTCATTCTTCAAATGGCAGCAACAGTTGGAGCTGAGCCCGTCTGAAGCCAGGAGTCTTTTTCAGGTCTCCCACATGGGTACACGGGCCTGAGCACTCAGACTGTCTTCTATTGCTTTCCCAGGTACATTGGCAGGGAGCAGGATTGAAATGGAGCAGCCAGAACTTAAAACTGGCACCCATATAGGACGCCAGCGCCACATGCTATGCCACAGCACCGGTTTATTAAACCTCAATTAAACAGTCTTTCCTGCTTGCTTCCTACCTTGCCCCTAAACATGTCCCTGCTTTCTTTTTCCCTTCCCTCAGTTTCCACCTCCGGAGCTAGCTAATTAACATTACTGATGTCTTGGATAATGTTTTCTGGGAAGCTGTGCTGGTCTCAGGAAAGAAAAGTCTGCTTCATTGAGTAGGATGAAGACATGAGTAAAGAAATATTTAGTACCTGGTTAAAGTATACTTGAGAAGTGCACTTTATTTGAGAAGGTACTCCCACCTCTCTGGAGAAAGCCTTCTTAGAAGATTCTCCTGACAAGTAACAGGAGAGTCTCCTGATTTATGAAGGGAGAAGGCAGGAGTGAAGAAAATCTAAAAGAACTTAAGCCCACAGGTCTTGGGCAGTGCCCATCTCCCCGCTCCTCTGCAGTCTACTCAGAGTTCTCAAGGCTTTCTGTGCCCAAAGAGCCAACACAGTTTATATCCTCTCCTCAAGTCAAATGCGCTAGGTCCTACCATGTCTGGCACTATTCCTGTACTGAACTGGAGTTATTGGCCTTCGTGGCTTTTCTTTCCTTGTAAGCCACATTCTCTTTTGCAATGGGAACTACCAAATATTTATGGAACAAATCGTTTGTGTGCTCAACATGAAAACCCTGTGCACAAAGTTTTAAATATTGCTGCAGAAAGTTTTTTTTTTACTCTCAAGAAGTAACAAAAACTCCTGTTCATTCCTGGCTTCTTTCTTTGATGGGAGAATTCCTGTGCTCTCAGAGGCATGGCTAAAACCTACCAGGATCGGGGGAAGCCTCCAGAGATCCAGTTTCTTGGTTGCCAAGCAGTGGGTCTTACACTTGGAGCAGTAGTACATCTCATTCTCCCCCAGCTCCTCCTCACTGGTGAATGCACGGAGGCAGCTGTCCAGGTTGATGGGCTCAGCTTGTGCTCGCCGACTCTGCTCCACACTCTCATGCTCATCCACAACCTGCAGGCGGAGGGAACAGGAGGAACATGAGCTCCGGAGAGCCTGGCTATGGCACCAGAAACTGAAATCTAGACTTTTGGAGTAAATGCAGCAGCTGCACAGTTATTCATGAGGACCACAGCAGTAACAATGGCTAAAACTTCTATTTCTGTGACAATGACTTTTTTTGGGGAATTCCTGAATGTTTCAAGATGACAAAACAAATAACAATCAGCCTGTTTATTTCCCAGCTCTGGAATCCTAAAATGGTTGACATGAGAACTTGAGATGGCAACACAGGAGCAAGTTGAAAAGAGCATGACATGGTGCTGGCCAAGCTCCTGGCTCTGCGGTCTTGTCAGCCAGCATGTTAGTCTCTAGCACAAGGAAGTCGGCATCAGAAAGGAGATGAAGCAAACGGGGTCCTTGACAAAGGCTTGTGAGACGGGGAGCAGGGTAAAAGAAAGAATCTAGAATGCAACAGAAAAGGATGACTTTCTCCTTTCTCCATTCCTGGCTACCACCTGACAAGTGTAGGAAGTACTGAATATGGATACTTTTTTTTTAAAATTTATTTTTATTGCAAAGGCGGATATATAAAGAGGAGGAGAGACAGAGAGGAAGATCTTCCATCCAATGATTCACTCCCCAAGTGACTGCATCGACCAGTGCCAAGCCTATCCGATGCCAGGAGCCAGGAGCTCTTCCGGGTCTCCCACACGGGTGCAGGGTTCCAAGGCTTTGGGCCGTCCTGGACTGCTTTCCTAGGTCACAAGCAGGGAGCTGGATGGGAAGCAGGACCGCTGGGATTAGAACTTGCGCCCATATGGGATTCCGGCATGAGCAAGGCGAGGACTTTAACCACTATGCTATCGCGCCGGGCCCCTTTTGCTTTTTCCTACTGGGGATCATGGGTGAGGTATAGTGTCAGGACTGTGGATGCGACATAAGACTTCTCACAAGGATATTTCTGTGTAAAGGCAGAACTAGGACTGCAAGGCCAATAGTGACTGACTCCCTCTTTGACAAGGTCATACATTTGTTCATCAGCCCACGTGTTGCGCTTCCTGAGGTGAAATGCATTTGTTTGGGCTGCTTGGATTACAGATGAGTACAGCTCCAGACACCAAGTTTAGAATGTTTTCACGTGAGACTTTCTCATTGTTTCTTGGCTTGTTGGCTAAGAATGAGAGCAGGTGAGAACTTATTCCTTGCATAAGGCAGCTGAGTCACAAAGCTATTACAAGACCCAATAAACTATCAAGGTTGGGGTTGGCCACGCAATTAAAGTTACACCATTGCTCACCATCCAGTATAAAGAAATCATTTAAAATGGGGAACTTACAGGAAAATTTGTTTTTATAAAAAAGGAAACCTAGCCTGGTCTTGGGTCACCAAGATCTTTTTTTTTTTCCGGTGAGCTCAAGTTGTGCAGTTACAACTACAGACAACTGTTACTGCCTTGATCTTTGGAGCTGGCTACTCAAGGGACACAGGGACACGCAGCAGAGGGAATGTGCTCTACTGCAGCTGATGGAATGAGGAGGAAAAAAGGTGCGCCAAGTCCAGTAGTGTTGCTTTTCTCACAGCAAGTTAAATATTACCTCTATTATCTCTGCCAGGTATGCTTTATGGCCAACCACAAAATAGAGTAAGCCAGTTGAAAAAATTGATTTTTATTGACTATAAATTCTGGAACACGGGCAGGAGATACAGCTACACTGAGACAGGAGGAAGGACAGTCTGAGAAAAATTTGGGGATTGACAGTAATTTATATTTGTCAATAAAATTGCACCAAATGACAAAAATTTGATTTACCCCTTGGAACCCATGCTCAGAAAATCTGCATTGTTCTAAGTTTTTTTTTTTCCTTCTTCTAAATTGCTTTGAAGTTTATACTTAACAATACTATCAGACTATTTTAAACAGAGAAAGAGAAACCTAACATGTTATTTAGCAGCACTTGCTGCGGAATGTGAGGTCCAAACAGCATGGGCAGATAGAAAGAATGAGCATAAAGGGGCTGGCATTGTAAGGCAGCATGTCAAGCCACCACTCATAATGCTGTCACCCAAGAACCTGGGCTCAAGCCATCCACGTGGGAGACCTGGAATGAGCTGAGGCTCCTGACTCCAGCCTAGCTGAGCCGTGGCCATTTGGGGACAAACAAGTGGAGGGAAGACCTCCCTCTCGTGTCATTCCAGCTTTAAAATAAAATAATCTTAAAGGGCTCGGTGTGGTGGCCTAGCAGCTAAAGTCCTCGCCTTGAACATGCCAGGATCCCAATATGGGCATCAGTTCTAATCCCAGCAACTCCACTTCCCATCCAGCTCGCTGCTTGTAGCCTGGGAAAGCAGTCGAGGGCGACCCAAAGCCTTGGGACCCTGCACCCGCATGGGAGACCTGGAAGAAGTTCCTGGCTCCTGGCTTCGGATCGGCACAGCACCACTCGTTGCGCTCACCTGGGTAGTGAACCATAGGACGGAAGATCTTCCTCTCTGTCTCTCCTCCTCCCTATAAATCTGATTTTGTAATAAAAATAAATATTTAAAAAAATCTTAAAAAAAATGAACAGAGCATCTCAAGTATCTTCCCTTAAATGCTTAAATGCTAGTAAAAACGGAAAACCATAATTTTCAGCAATTGCATATTTTAACCAATGATTATATCATGCTTTATTCAACCATTTCTTTATAAAGTGAGATAAACACAAGTTATTTCTAATATTTTCTAATGGTAAAATAAAAAGATGGTATGATAAACACTTATCTACAAACTGCCAAGTAATTATAGAGTATCCTATTTCTCTAGGATAAATTCCTAGAGGGGAACTCACTGGAATGAAGAATATAAAGTGTACAGACATTCCCCTGGTTTTGAAGCAAGGTACCTCCATTGTCTACGTGACTTCCTACGCACATGCAGAAACCACATGTGGGAAGAGCCCAGATGAATCATGTGTCCCCATTCTCAGCAAGACAGGGTATCTGACAGAGTAGCTGCTTGTTTCCACAGCTTCTTCAGTGTATCAATAAAACTGGAAGTGATGTAAGATTTAGCAGTGTATCAGTAAAAGTGGAAGTGGTGTAAGATTAAGCACATTACACAGATCCTTCCTTCTAGAAGTGGGATGTCTTCCAGAACTTGGAAATTGCACATTAGGTTTCTTGAGAAAAGGAAGGAGACTTACATAATTAAAGAATTTTTCATCTTTAACAGAAATGCCTTGTCAGAACAATGTTCTGTCAGATTTTGTACTGGTAAGTAAGGAAAATGTAGGTGAAGTTACCACATTACTTTGCTACAGAGAGCATGGTTACTACATCAATGTCTTCAGGGTTTTGTTTAGCTTGAAGATCTTTCATGTAGCAAATACACATGTTACATACATCCTTAGAAAGGGCTGTTAGGAGCCTCAGGGTCTGTGTTCAATATTCAGAAATACAAATAAAAGTCAACAACCATTCCTAACTTATCTACAAGGAACGCTGAAGAAATAAGGAAATTTCCAACAATCAAGAACAACATAGACACAAAAATCACTACAATTCCTCATGCAACTTAAATAATTATTTGATTTTGTTGCTTTGTTTTTATCAGATTTGCACTGTTTCTACCTTTCACATGCGTCTGGTTGCTTAAGAACTACCTCAGAAAAACATTTAAAGATTTATTCATTTTTATTGAAAAGGCAGATATACAGAAAGGAGGAGAGACAGAGAAAGATCTTCATCTTCTTGGTTCACACCCAAATGGGTGCAATGACCAGAGCTGAGCCAAACTGAAGCTAGGAGCCAGGAGCTTCATCCAGGTCTCCCACGTGGGTGCAGGGTCCCAAGGTTTTAGGCCATCTTCTACTGATTTCCCAGGCCACAAGTAGGGAGCTGCATGAGAAGGGAAGCAGCCAAGACATGAACCAAGATTTGTTTTTTAAAAAGGTAGCGTTAGGGCCCGGCAGCGTGGCCTAAAGGCTAAAGTCCTCGCCTTGCATGTGCCAGGATCCCAATATGGGCGCCGGTTCTAATCCCGGCAGCTCCACTTCCCATCCAGCTCTCTGCTTGTGGCCTGGGAAAACAGTCGAGGACGGCCTGAAGCCTTGGGACCCTGCACCCGTGTGGGAGACCTGGAAGAAGTTCCTGGATCCTGGCTTTGGATCGGTATAGCATCAGCCGTTGCGCTCACTTGGGGAGTGAATCATAGGACAGAAGATCTTCCTCTCTGCTTCTTCTCTTCCTCTCTGTATATCTGACTTTCCAATAAATGAAATAAATCTTAAAAAATAAAATAAAATAAAAAGGCAGAGTTAAAGAGAGAAGGAGAGAGAGAGAAAGAGAGAATAGATATAGAGACACAAAGAAAGCTCTTCCATCTGCTGGCTCATTCCCCAAATGTTGCAACGGCTAGAGCTGAACTGATCTGAAACCAGGAGCCAGAAGCTTCTTCTGGGTTTATCATGTGGCTGCAGGGTCTCAAGGTCCTGAGCCATTTTTCCACTGGTCCCAGGCTGTGAGCAGGAAGCTGGATTGGAAGTGGAGTTACTGGGACATGAACTGGTGCCCCTGAGGGATACCTATGCCAAAGGCAGAATCTTAGCCTATTATGCCACAGTGCTGGCCCCAGAATGTCTTTAATTATATTCAGGTTTGTTTCAACAGCAACTTAATATTAGTACTTTAAATTTAATACATTCTTCAAGATTTATTTATTTGAAACACAGAAAGAGAGAGAGAGAAAGATTCTCTATTCATGTTTCACCCTTTATTGCCCATAATAGCATGCTATGGACCAGGCTAAATCCAGCAGCTAGGCACTCCATCCAGGTCTCACATGTGACTGGCACGAACCCAAATACCTGGGCCATCATCTGCTGTCTTCTCAGGCACATTAGCACGAAGGTATATCAGGAGAGGGTTGGGCCTGGCATGGCACAGAAGACTAGTGGCTAAAGTCTTCGCCTTGCATGTGCTAGGATTCCATATGGGTACCGGTTAATGTTCCCGCTGCTAAACTTCTCTTCCTGCTCCATGCTTGTGGCCTGGGAAGGTGGTCCAGGACGCCCAAAGCCTTGGGACCCTGCATCTGTGTGGGAGAACTGCATGAAGATCCTGGCTCCTGGTTTCGGATCAGCTCGGCTCCGGCCATTGGGGCCACGTGGGGAGTGAATCAGCAGACGGAATATTTCTGTCTCTCCTCTCTGTGAATCTTTCCAATAAAAGTAAATAAATTAAGTCACCTGAATGCAGCTCCACCTTCCCTTTGCATGGACACTGGACAACCCTGCGGAAGAATTCTTATCCATTCAGGCATTGTTTGCTACTGTGGAGTTGGCTCTTTTATTCAACGTGAGCTTGGAGGTTAATGTCAATAATAATGTCTTGCAAAAAGGGCCTTCTATTATTGGTACTGTCTTGGCTGTTCCCATCAACCTTATGCTAATCAAGGGATCTGTATTTAGGATTTCATTCTTTCCTTGATCTTCAGGTTCTCCTTTTCTTTGTGATACAAAATTGAGTTGTAGAACAAGAATTGTAGTAGGAACTTCTAAAGTTTTTAGGTGAAACAAATGGCAGAATTATCATTATAAACATCACTTGACCATGCCGTAAAAAGTGTGAGAAAGAGTTTGAATGTTTCTGTATACAGTGGACAGCTTTCCCGCATTGTCCATTATGATCATGGAATCCTAGTGGTCCATCTATTTTCTCTACACCTCATCCCGAGTTCTGAACTCGGCTGGAGCTGGACTCCGGCACTATTATGTAAGTATCCCAAGTGGTAGTCCAAAACGCTGTGCCACATTCCTACCTAATATTAACATTTTTTAAAACCTTCCTTTGCTTTTAAAAAAATTTTTATTTATTTTTATTACAAAGTCAGATATATAGAAAGGAAGATCTTTTGTCCGATGGATTCATTTCCCAAGTGAGCATAACGGCCAGTGCTGTGCCGATCCAAAGCCAGGAGCCAGGAACCTCCTCCAGGTCTCCCACGCGGGTGCAGGGTCCCAAGGCTTTGGGTCGTCCTCAACTGCTTTCCCAAGCCACAAGCAGGGAGCTGGATGGGAAGTGGAGCTGCTGGGATTAGAACCGACGCCCATATTGGGATCCTGGCATGTTCAAGGTGAGGACTTTAGCTGCTAGGCCATCATGCTTGGCCCCAAATATTAGTATTTTTTAAATGTAATGCTCCAATACAATTAATTCCAGATGATGGCAGACAACTAAATCTAAGAAATCATGTCAATATACCAAGTGTATAGAGAATATCGCTAAATGTTTTTCTAGTTATATTTAAATGGTCTATAAAAACATTACAGTTAAACTGATGAAAATTTCCCATATGAAGCCACTTTTGTTTTTGTTTTGAAAAGCTACACAGAGTGAAAAGAGAGACGGAAAAAGACTGAGAAGGAGAGAGAGAGGGGTATCTTCCATCTGCTGATTCATTCCCCAAATGGCCCCAAATGGTCCCCAGTGGTTGGGCTGGGCTTGCCCAGGCAAAGCTAAGAGCCCAGTCTTCCATTTAGGTGCAGGGTCCCAAGTACTTGAGCCATCTTCCGCTGCTTTCCCAGACCTTTAGCAAGGAGCTAGATTAGAAAGTGGAGCAGCCTCGACCAGTGCCCCTATGGCAATGCCTGTGAGGCAGGTAGTAGTGTCAAACACTATGCCACAATGTTAGCCCCATGAAGCCTCAGTTTCATAATGGACCTGGCTACTTACTCTTTCCTGGGAAGTTTGATAGCGAAGGTGAAGGGCTGTAGGGTCCCAGTCCACGGCAATATAAGCATTTCCAATGAAAGCTCTATCTTCCCCACAATCAATTTTGCAGCCTCTGCAAAATCTAAAAGCAGGGGAAAGATCCAAAAAGAAATAATCATAAAGGAATTCAACTTTTCTTAATCAGAAATACTCTTTCTTGCTTTTCTACTTTCATCTTGGGCTGCTCAATTCACATTCTGATAAATTAAAAAATGCTAATAAAAACACCCTTATCACTTACTAAGTATTTGGCCTTACAAAACACTTGATAAATGCACAGGAAGATGAGCTTAAAGGTAAAGAAATGATATGGCTTATTCAAACTGGCTATGTAAGACAATAAAGCTCTTGTGAAATTTTTATTTTTTTTTTTTTAAGATTCTTTTACTGGGGTCAGCAGTGTCATAGCTGGTAATGCTGCCAACTCAATGCCAGCACCTAATTTGGGAATCAGTTCTAGACCTGGCTTCTCTGCTTCTGATCCAGCTCCTTGTTACTACTGTGCCTGAGAAAGCAGCAGATGATGGGCCGAGGTCTCAGGTCTCTGCAACCACGTGAGAAATCTAGAAGAAGCTCCTGGCTTTGGCTGGGCCTACCTCCAACCATTGCATCCATCTGGAGAGTGAACAGATTTCTCTCCTTCTCCTCATCTCTCTATTGCAGTGCCTTTCAAATAAATAATCTTTCAAAAAAGAGATTTATTTATTTGAAAAGCACAATTACAGAGAGAGGGAGACAGTTGAGTCTTCCACTCACTGGTTCACCCCTCAGGTGGTTGCAATGGGGGGGTGGTGGGGTGGGCCAGGCTGACACCAGGAGACAGGAGCTTCCTCACAGTCACCCTAGTGGGTTGCAGGGGCCCATGCCTTTGAGCCATTTTTGTCTGTTTCTCCCAGGCCACTGGCAGGGAGCTGGATTGTGAGCATGGGACTTGAACTGGTGCCTTTATGGGAAACTAGTGATGTGGGTGTTGGTTTTATCTGCTATGCCATATTGCCAATCTCATTTTTAAAGTTTTATTTATTTTTGTTGGAAAGTCAGGTACACAGAGAGGAGCAGAGACAGAGGAAGATCTTCCATTCGTGATTCACTCCACAAGCAGCCACAACAGCCAGAGCTGAGCTAATCTAAAGCCAGAAGCCAGGATCTTCTTCTGGGTCTCCCACACAGGTGCAGGGTCCCAAGGCTTCAGGCTGTCCTCAACTGTTTTCTCAGGCCAAAAGCAGGGAGCTGGATGGGAAGTGGAATGAAGCTGCTGGATTAGAACCGGTGTACATATGGGATCCTGGTGGACATACGGTGAGGACATCAGCTGTTAGGCTACCATGCCAGTCCCATCTTATTTTTTTAAAGATTTATTTATTTTGCGTGAAACTCATAGTTACAGAGAGAGAGTCAGACAGACACAGAGTGGGGGAGAGAGAGTCTTTCATCAGCTGGATCATTCCCCAAATGGTTGCGGTGGGCAGAGCCATGCCAGTCCAAAGCTGTAAGCCAGGAGTTTCCTCTTTGTCCACGTAGCTGCAGGAGCCCAAGGCCATGGACAATCTTCTATTACTTCCCCAGGCAATAAGCAGGGAACTAGATCAGAAGTGGAACAACCAGGACTGGATTTGGTGCCCATAAAAGAAGCTGGAGCTGCAGGCTAAAAATAAGCCTGTTATACCACTGCACTGGTTTCACTCTTGAAATTCTAAGCTCATCTATTTAATGATCAGAGGGAGGAAAATTTACCTGAGAAAATAATGCCTACCTCCTTGTTTGTGGAGGCACATGAAATAAAAGAGATCTTTCAAAGAGTTCATGGAAAATGAATACTACCAAAAAAAGTATGTTTGAATTTAAAATTTTTTCTGCATTTAAATAAGCATTTAAATAAGTTTATATATTTATTCCATTTTCCATAAGAAACATTTTAAATTTACTTGAAAGGGAGAGAGAGAGAGAGAGATATCCCTTTCTTAGGCTTATTCTCCAAATGTTCAAACACCCACAACTGGGCCAGAAAGAAGCTAGGAGTATAGAACTCAATATGGGTCTCTTAGGTGGATGGTAAGGACACAATACTTGAGTCACCACCTGCTGCCTCCAACAGCAAACTAGAGACTTGAACCAGGCACTTTGAGATGGGATGCAGGTATCCCATGCAGCTAAGCCCAATGCCAGGTTCCCTACAAACTTTTTGAAGTATCCTTCTATAAGTATATAAACATTTACTGCGTTGGATCTGGTGCAGTAGCCTAGTAGCTAAATACCTCGCCTTGCATGCACCAGGATCCCGAATACAGTTCCTTGCTTGTGGCCTGGGAAAGCAGTCAAGGACTGCCCAAAGCCTTGGGACTCTGTGCCTGTGTGGGAAACCCAGAAGATGCTCCAGGATTGGTTCAGCTCAGCCTGGTCATTGCAGCCACTTAGGGAGTGAATAGAGGATGGAAGATCTTCCGTTTCTCTCCTTTCTCTGTAAAATTTGACTTTCCAATTATAAATAAATAAATAACATGATTTAAAAATTTACTGTTTTACAGAGAGAGGGTATGACAGTCATGATTCTAAACCTATTTTAGAACCAGTTTGCTAAGCCTGTAACAGTTCTCTAAAAGCTGACTTGTCGTGTCGGGTACTTTATTTGCTTAACAGCAATGACGAATCAGTCTGGATAACTTCTAAAAGGCAAATATAGACTTCTATGAAGGCCTAGTAAGTTGACTACATTGTGCTAGCTCAGGATTGCAAACTTATTTATTTATTAAAGATTTATTTATATTTATTGGAAAGTCTGATATACAGAAAGGTGGGGGGACAGAGAAGAATCCACTGATTCATTCACCAAGTGCCCTCAATGGCCGGAACTGAGCCAATTCAAAGTCAGGAGTCAGGACTCTTCCAGGTCTCCCACACAGATGCAGGGTCCTAAGGCTTTGGACCATCCTTTACTGCTATCCCAGGCCACAGGCAGGGAGCTGGATCTGAAGTGGAGCAGCTGGGATTAGAACTGGCAACCATATGGTATTCCAGGGTATGCAAGGCAAGGATTTAGCCACTAGGCTACTGTCTTAGGCACAAACTTACTTATTTTTAGGGAGCAGAAAATAGAGAATAATAATGGTTGAAAATAAGCTACAAATTTGATGTTAACTGTGGTGTTCATACCATCAGCTAAGTCTGAAGACCAAAATTTAGCCAATTAACCTTCAAATAATCTCATTATCTGCTATTACTTCTCACAAATTGAAATCTCGCTAAACTGTATAATATTTGATCCTGTAATTCGTACTACATTCTTCTTCTCTTTTTTTTTTCCTGGAAGCTCACTTTACCTGTACCATGGGCACCAAGCACAAGAGTTTCCATCTTTTTGCACAACTCGTAGAGTGAATGGATATTGATAGCCCATGCTGTCATCACTGAAACAGAGAACATAAACCAAAGTGTCAGAAGCATATCTGGTTTGGGATACAACTTGTTTCAATTTTTTCTTGGAGGAATCCTAGGAAGGGCCCACTGTCACAGCAGCACATGAATGCTGCATCTCCGTATGACTTATCCTAACCAATAAGCTGCAGCCTTGGGCCAGCCCCATTCTGGACTCCCATGCTGTACCCCTGTTTACAACAGGGCAAGCACACTGTACTGCCAGATGTCTCTAAGAGTCCATGTGGCCCACAAACACCCTCAAAGATAAGCTAATCAAGAAGCAAATGACAATTATCCTGCTGGCATAATTTTATCAAAGGATTTAATTCACATTAAGCTGAAATAATTAGATCTTTTCATGCTCAAAACATTGATGTAGCACAGAATGTTGAATATTTAGGAGTTTCCTTTAATCCAAACTCCAACTCCTGATACAATAATACATGCTAGGTATCTGCACCCCTCCTTTTTTTTTTTTTTTTTTTTAGGATTTATTGATTTATTTTAAAGGCACTGAGAAAGAAAGAAAGAGAGAGAGAGAATGAATGAATGAATCTTCCAGTCACTAGTTCATTTCAAAATGGTTACAATGGCTGGAGCTTGGCCAAAACTGGAGCCTAGAACTCCATTTGCGTCTGTCATGTAGGTGGCAGGGGTGCAAGCACTTGGGTACTTTTTTACTGTTTTCTTACATACACTAGTAGGCAGCTGGACCAGTGCTTATATGGGATGCAATGGGGATTGCAAGCAATGTCTTAATCCACTGTACCACAATGCTGGTTCTTGTACTAACTAATTAAGAAAAAAATTGAGGTCAGCACTGGCAGAGTGGGTTAAACTGCTACTTGCATGCTGGCATCCTGGCTGCTCCACCTTTTCTTTTTTTCAATCCACAGCACTGGGGCTGATGTGACGAAGTGTCTGCAATGTAGGCATCCCAGATGATCACCCAATCAATCTTGTCCCAGTGACTCTCTATTTTACTTTCTTCCTTTTTAAAAAATATTTATTTATTTTTTTCTTATTGGAAAGTTAGATGCAATTCACTCCCCAATGTCAGGAGCTAAGCCGATCCAAAGCCACGAGCCAGGAGCTTCTTCTGGGTCTCTCATGTAGGTACTGGGTCCCAAAGCTTTGAGCTGTCCTCGACTGCATTCCCAGGCCACAAGCAGGGAGCTGGATAGGAAGTGGGGCCACTGGGACACGAAGCAGGGTTGCTGGGACACTACCAGTGGCCATATGGGATCCTGGTCTGTGCAAGGCAAGGACTTTATCCGCTAGGCTACCACTCTGGGCCCATAGCTATTCCACTTCTGATCTAACTCTCTGCTAATGCATCTGAGAAAGCAGTGTATGATTAGCTAAAGGCATGGGATTGCACCAGTAACGTGGACATCAAGACTGAGTTTCAGGGCCCGGCGGCGTGGCCTAGCAGCTAAAGTCCTCGCCTTGAACGCACCGGAATCCCATATGGGCATCGGTTCTAACCCCAGCAGCTCCACTTTCCATCCAGCTCCCTGCTTGTGGCCTGGGAAAGCAGTCAAGGATGGCCCAAACCTCTGGGACTCTGCGCCCACGTGGGAGACCTGGAAGAGGTTCCCGGTTCCCAGCTTTGGACCGGCCATTGCGCTCACTTGGGGAGTGAATCATCGGATGGATCTTCCCCTCTGTCTCTCTTCCTCTCTGTATATCTGACTTTGTAATAGAATAAATACATCTTTAAAAAAAAAAGAAGATTGAGTTTCAGCCTCTTGGCTTCAGCCTGTCCCAGCTCCGGCTGTTGTGGCTTTCCAAGGGGCCAGAACCAGAGGATGGAAGATTGGAAGATTTCTTTTGCTCCCTCCTGCTCTCTGCCTTATAAATACATATATTTTAAATATTTGTTCATTTTTCCTGGAAAGGCAGCTTTACAGTGAGAAGGAGAGACAAAGATCTTCCATCTGCTGGCTTACTTCCCAAATGGCTGCAATGACCAGAGCTGAGCCGATCTGAAACCAGGAGCCAGGAGCTTCCACCAGGTCTCCCATGTGGGAGCAGAGTCCCAAACACTGGGGCCATCCTCTGCTGCTTTTCTAGGCCACAAGCATGGCGCTAGATTAGAAGTGGAGCAGCCAGGACACAAGCTGATGCCCCTGTGGGATGCCAGGGCTAGCAGTGGAGGATTAGTCTATTGTGCCATAGTGCTGGCTCCTCAAATACACATAATTTAAAAGTTCTATCTTTCTACCTACCTATCTATCTATCTATCTGTCCATCTATTTGCTTATATTTACCTGGAAGCTGAGGATGGTCCAAGTATTTGGGAACCTGGTACGTTCAAGGTGAGGACTTCAGCTGCTAGGCCACTGTGCCGGACCCATTTTAGCAATTTAAATTAATTAATGGGGGACATGGAAGAAGAGACATAGCGTTCCAATCTGCTGATTTGTTCCTCCAACAGGTGCAATAAGTGAAACAGGGCTGGGCTGAAGTAAAAAACCAGGAACTTGGGCCTGGCATGGTGTGCCTTCCACGTGTGGAATCTCATATGGGTGCCGATTCTAATCCTAGAGTTACTGCTTCTCATCCAGCTCCCTGCTTGTGGCCTGGGAAAGCAGTCGAGGACGGCCCAAAGCCTTGGGAACCTGCACACATGGGAGACCTGGAAGAAGCTCCTGGCTCCTGACTTTGGATAGATGCAGCACTGGCCGTTGTGGTCCTTGCAAAGAGAATCATCAGATGGAAGATCTTTCTCTCTCTCTCTCCCTCCTCCTCCCTGTATATCTGAGTTTGCAATAAAAATAAATAAATCTTAAAAAAAAAATCTGCTCTTGCTTTCCCAGGTGCTTCAGCAGGGAGCTGGATTGGAAGTGGAAATGCTGGGACTTGAACTGGCCTTTTATGTAGTAGCTTAAACTGCTGTGCTACAATACTGCCCAAGCATAGTATGGTGTAGTATGTTTCAGAACTCCATTCCTTTTTATAGCTAAGTAATATTTCATGGTGTGGTACAATACTTTTTGTTCACTGATTCATCTGTTGGTGGACACTGGGTTTATTGCAACCTTTCAGCTGTGTGACACATCAGATTCTTTCAATGGAGATCAGAGGCAAGTTATCATTTTACCCATAAGTATCTCAGCATACATTTCTAAAGGATAAACCCTTATTAACTTTTTAAAAAAAGGGTTTATTCATTTTTTTTGTTAAGGCAGATTTACAGAGTGAAGGAGATACAGACAGAAAAATCTTCTGTCCACTGGATCACGCCCCAAGTAGCTGCAATGGCTGGAACTATGCCAATTTTAAGCCAGGAGTTTCTTCTCACGTGCAAAGGCTTTGGCCATCCTGCACTGCTTTCCCAGGCTACAAGCAGAGAGCAGAATGAGAAGTGGAGCAGCCGGGACACGAACCAGCGCCCATATGGGATCCAGGCAATGTGCAAGGCAAGAATCTAGCAAGTAGGCTATTGCATCAGGCCCCTTTTATTAACTTTTAATGTATGTCGAATCATTCTTTACTTAACTCAATCCAGTCTCCGTGCCTTCATCTGCATTAATCTGCTAAACAACTTTCAGAAAGGTCACTGAAAATTGCTACCTTATTAAATTTTAAGGGTAAGGGAGAGAGAAGTCTTTTGCTGGTCACTCCCCAAAAGGCCGCAATAGCCTGGGCTGGGTCAGACCAAAGTCTGGTGGCAGAAACTACTTCCTGATCTCCCACACAGCTGGCAGGGGCCCAAACAATTGTGCCCTCCTCTGCTTTCTTGCGAGGCTTATTCGCAGGTAGATGGGCAGGAAGCATTGTAGCCAAGACTTGAACCAGCACTCAGTTGGCACACTGGTGTTACAAAAGGTGGCTTAAACTTCTATATCACAATACCTGTCCCTCTTGTTCTTCCTTTTTTTCTCTTAAAGATTTATTTATTTTTATTGAAACATCAGATTTTCAGAAAGAAGGAGAGACAGACAGATGTTGGTTCATTCCCCAAGTGGCCACAATGGCTGGAAATGAGCTGATCTGAAGCCATGAGTCAGGAGCTTCTTCTGGGTCTCCCATGTGGGTGCAGGGTCCCAAGGGTTGGGGCCGTCCCTGCGTTCTCAGGCCACGAGCAGAGAGCTGGAAGGGAAGCAGAGCAGCCAGAACACAAACTGGCACCCATATGGTATCCTGGTATTTGGCAAGGTGAGGCCTTTAGCCACTAGGATACTGCACTGGGCCTCCCTCCCCCTGTTCTTTTTAATGACAACTGTTGGAATGCTTTTAGCAGTTAGACCTGGGGGCCAGTGTTGTGCCAGTTAGTTAAGCTATGATGCTGACAGCCTATGTCAGCCCTGGTTCAAGTCCTGGCTGCTCCATTTCTGATATACCTCCCTGATAATATGCCTGTGAAAGCAGCAAGGAATGGCCCAAGTATGTGGATGCTCGTCACAAAATGGGAGATTAGGATGAAGTTCCTGGCTCCTGGCATCAGGGTGGCCCAGCCTGGGCCATTGTTTTTATTTGAGGAAAGAATTAGTAGACTGATCTTTTTCTCTCATTCAAATAATAAAAGAAATATATTTAAAAAAAAATCTTACTATATTTGCTATTTGACTTTATAATCTGATTTAAAGTTTTTGCTTTGTTTTTTTTTAAGATTTATATTATTTGGGCCCAGTGCAATAGCCTAGCAGTCAAAGTCCTTGCTTTGCACAGTCCTATATGGGCACTGGTTTCAATCCTGGCAGCTCCACTTCCCATCCAGCTCCCTGCTTGTGGCCTGGCAAAGCAGTCGAGGATGGCTCAAAGCTTTGGGAGCCTGCACCCATGTGTGAGACTCTGAAGAAGCTCCTGATTCCTGGCTTCGAATGGGCACAGCGTCAGCCGTTGCGGTCACTTGTGGAGTGAATCATCAGACGAAAGATCTTCCTCTCTGTCTCTCTCCTTCTCTCTGTATCTTTCCAATAAAAAATAGAATAAATCTTAAAAAATGATTTTAAAAAGATAAATGTTATTATTTGTAGTCAGAGTTGCAGAGAGAGAAGATAAAGCAATATTGCATCTCTGGGATGGCCCCAAAGCCAAGCATGGGCCAGGTCCAAGTCAAGAACTTCTTTTTATTTCCCACATGGGTAGCAGAGGCCTGATTCTACAGACCACACAGCAAAGACAACTTTTTTACTCAGTTACCACAAAAATAAAAATCTCATCTGCAGTATGATTAGAAGAAAATGAAATGCAGTTCAACTGAGATATAAATAAGGCTGATATCACAATTCTAAAGATTATTCAAAGTAAATTCAACAGAACACTGGTAGGAGGATCAGAAAGAAAACATAAAATGTTTATCTTTACCTAGTTAAAAAAGAGAGCATGGAAACAATTCAAATGAATCATTTGTTATGACATGAATTTTTTTTTAGATTTCATGTAGCTATGAAACAATTCATGGAAATATGGAATGAAAAATTTACTTTTTGCAAAGAAATCTTTAGCCCTTGTGGTTCCCATTACTTTTTAAAAAGTCTTCATATATATGCACTTAAAATTTTTTCCACATGCCCCAAAATTTTAATTCTGTTTTCCATTAATTTCCTGAAGTATCCTTGTATATGTACAGTCATGTCTATTCTCAATCTCAGAAGATTAAGGTGACACATATTTCCTCTACTTTTATAATAACAAAAGACAAGGATACTACCTGAAATATTAAGCAGGAAGGATAAGGATTATTAGACAGAAGGATGCCTAAGAGGGGAAAGAAAGCTTTTTCACCATATTCAAAGTATCAAATCAAGTGGCTGAATTACATGCTTTCTGAATGGTTCTTCCAGGAGTCATTAGCATGAAGCAAATTCTATCACAGAATGCAACAACTCACTTGCTTAGAGTTTTGAAACTAAAGTCTAGGTGACCTTCTGAACTCACCAATCCTGAGCATGGTTGCTAGCTTCCTGAGGTGGCAGTGGGCTGGCTAATCGTGATACTTGAATCCAAACTGCATCATAGAGGTCTTTCTTCCGGGTATGTACAGTACAGGGAACAATCAACGGCATTCCAAAAAGGCTGGGGCGATTCTTCTGAGATGACAGGAAATAGAGTTCTGTCCTCATCTATCGGACAAATAAGAGAACAGAGTTTTTATTCCTCTCTTAAGCTTTCCTAAGACTGCCAACAGGCACCATGCCCATTTTCAAATTAGGATCACACTCATCTCTATCAAATATAAAACCATCTTAGTTAATATGAAGAGAAAACTTTTTAACTAAAAAGTATTCTATTTATTCGTATTACAAAGTCAGATTTACAGAGAAAAGGAGAAAAAAATTCTTCCACCCGCTGGTTCACTCCCCAAGTGGGCACAATGGCCGGAGATGAGCTGATCTGAAGCCAGGAGCCAGGAGCTTCCTCCAGGTCTCCCATGTGGTGCAGGGTTCCAAGGCTTTGGGTCATCCTCGACTGCTTTCCCAAGCCACAGGCAGGGTTCCAAGCCACAGGCAGGCAGCTGGATGGTAGGTGGAGCAACCAGGATACAAATTGACACCATATGGGATCCCAGCACGTGCAAAGTGAGGACTTTAGCCACTGGGATACCACACCAGACCCAAATAAGAGAAAAAAAATTTTTTTTTTAAAATTTTAATTGGAAAGACAGATTAAATTTACAGAGAGAAGGAAAGGCAGACACAAAGATTATTCATCTACTGATTCAAGCTCCAAAGGCTGTAACAGCTGGAGCTGAACCAATCCAAAGCCAGGAACCAGCTTATCCAGGTCTTCCACCCAGATTCAGGGAACCAAGCATCTGGCTATTCTCTGCTCCCTTCCCAGGACATAAACAGGAAGCTGGATCAGAAGTGGATTAGAACCAGCTCTCATATGCAATGTCATCATTGAAGGCTGAGAATTAACCTGTTGAGTTATGGTGTTGGACTCCAAAATGAATAAATTAAAAAAAAAAAATTGGAGCCCAGCACAGTACCCTAGCAGCTAAAGTCCTCACCTTGCATGTGCTGAGCTCCCATATGGGCTCTGGTTCTAATCCTGGAGGTCTCACTTCCCATCCAGCTCCCTGTTGGCCTGGGAAAGCAGGACAGCCCAAATCCTTGGGAGTATGCATTGAGCAATATACATTGAGGAGGAGAGACAGAGAGGAAGATCTTCCGTCTGATGATTCACTCCCCAAATGGCTGCAATGGTCTGAACTGAGCCTATGCATAGCCAGAAACCAGGAGCTTCTTCTGGGTCTCCCACACAGGCACAGGGTCCCAAGGTTTTAGGCTGTCTTCCACTGCTTTCCCAGGCCATAAGCAGGGAGCTGGATGGGAAGCAGGGCTGCTGGGACACAAACTAGCGTTCATATGGGGTTCTGGCATGTGTAAGGTGAGGACTTTGTATGCTGGACTTGGCAATTAATACTTTTTAAAAATTATTTTTTTATTTGAAAGGCAGATTTTACAGAGAGGAGAGAGACAGCGTGAACCTGCATTTGCTGTTTCACTACCCAAATAACCACAATGGCCAGAGCTGGGGAAGTCAGAAGTCAGGATGCAGGTGCTTCCCCTGGTCTCCCAGGTGCCTGTAGGGGTTCAAGGCTTTGGATCATCTTCCTCTGCTTTCTCAGGCCACAAGCAGGAAGCTCATGGGAACTGGTACAGCCAGAATTTGGGAATGCTGGCGCTTGGAAGTGGAGGATTAGCTAATTGAGCTGCAGTACTGGCTCTAGCAATTAATATTTTTAAATAGTTTTCTCTGATGACTACTTTTAACACACACGGAATCATACATACAAGGCAGCAATAGTTTCATAGGCCAAGGTTTTAAAAAATTAAAACCAATTCTTTCTTTAAAGTATGCCAAAAACCAAAATGCTCTATGAAGACGAAGCTGTTGATACCTGGTTGTTAGGGCAAAAATATGCATATTTTTGGAGACATTTGAAACCTAGTTATTGATTTAACAACTTGACTACCTCCCTTTAATCAACTAAGTGACACTACCCTTTCTTGTTTTTTAAATTCATGATAAATTAAGACTTGCTTAGAATGTAAGTAAAAATTTTAGTTATTAATTAAGTAATTAGAGAAGCAGAGACACACAAAGAGAGAGATTCTGATATTTCACTCTCCAAATGCTTGTGAATGTCTGGTCATAGGCCAAAGCTAAGAACTAATAGCTCAGTCTTCATCTTTCAGAGAAAGCAATCTTTCATCTGTTGGTTCACTCCCCAGAGGGGCTACAAAGGGTGAGCTAGCCCAGTCCGGAGGAGCTGCTCCCAGGTCTCCCTCAGGGCTGCAGCAGCTCCCTTCCACTGCTTTCCCAGGTGGATTAGCAGGGATCTGGATCAGAAGTGGAGCAGCTGGACTGGAGTAAGCATCTATATCCTAGTGTCTATACCTTCTGCTGGCACTGCTCAAGGCATCATTCTGTAACACTATACTACACTATAACAAGAGCTATGGAATTTCCTCTTTTCTTTGTCTTACTTTCTCTTTCTTTGTGATCCTTTCAGACATTCTGAAAAAAGAATTCTCTTAATTCATAATTTCAAACACTAAATGACATTTAATGAATACAGACCATTGTGGCCATTCAGGGAATCAAGCAAGGAATGGAAGATCTTTCTCTTTGTCTTTCCTTCTCTTTGAAACTTTCAACTAAAAATAAATCTTAAAAAAATTTGTACAGTGAAGATGTTAGAAAGACAGAAAATGTTTATGTTTCACAATGATACTGGCAAGAGCAGGTAGGAAGTTGTCTAATGCTTAACTAACCATTTTTCGGTGGACCGCAATGATGTACCCTGTAAAGGGATTATCAGGAAGAGATGGTGCATGACCATTCACCAGTCCATTTGTGAAGTTCTTTTCAGTTCCACATGGCACGACAGTGTTTGGCATTCCATTGGGGATGAAGATTGGTCGGGGCAGATCCCCATTGGTGGCTAGTGTGAATATGCCATTTGTAGATGGGGAAGATGATAAATCTACAAATTCAAAGATCAGTAACATGTCACAACCTTGTTGTAGCTTCATCTAGCTGTTTTTTTCCAATTATCCTAAGGATCTGAAGCACACTGACAGCACTCACTGTTTGTTAATAAAAGACAGGGAAAATCACAGCTCAAATAAGAATTCCACATTCCTGGAAGATTCAATAAGATTCAATTTCAGACTTTATCCCCATTATGACTACATGGTAAAACAGCACTAACTTCTGGAAATTGTTAATCAGAATATGCAAAAACCTACACTAGTGCCATATTATAGCATACAAACAGTTCTAAAATTATATTTCTCCATGCTTTTAAAAATGCTCTAATACAGCACAATTAGTTAAATATCTAAATTAAAATGAAAGTAAAATTGTATTCCTCCTCAGTCTCATAGGCCACAGCTCAAGTGTTCAAAGCCCATGTGACTGTGACAGATGGCAAATATTACACAACGTTTTTGTCACTGAGTTCTACTAGACAGTGATATTCAAAACAAAAAGCAACATTAAATCATCTATGAATTCTCCATCCGAACCATTTGCTAAGTTATCATGAGGAGCCCACTTTCCATGGAGTCCTTTATAAGTTCTCAATCAACCTAACATAAGCAATAAAAACAAGAAAGAACCAAATGACCTTATTAAATCATATGTAATACCATAAAAATGGATTCCTTTCCAGCTTTATTTAATGCTTGTTTTCTCGTGGTGTGTTCTTCTTAAACCATCTGTTTCATGTTAGTATTAGATAAGTAAGTTAAAAGAGATCTGAAATCCAAAGGTATTTTAGGTAATGACTTAAGTCTCTCAAGTTGTTTAAATTTTAGGTTCCTCATCTATTAAATGAGGGATATCAGGCAAATGACCAGGAAGGTTTCTTTTGTGCTCCAAATTCGCAATTCTTGTATCCTTGGCACAAACACAAAAATGATAATAACCCTTGGGCCAATTTAAAGCCCAGATAATTCTGCCTTACCTGTCTGTATAGGACTGGAAGCAGAAACCGGAGATGCAGGGATGGGAACTTCAAATGCACACAAAAATCCACTCACTGACAGTCGTACTTTTTGGTTGTCCTGAGGGAAGTTCTACAGAAAAAAACAGCAAGATGGAAAGGCAAAGATATTCGAGATAACGTTTTTGTTAAAAGTTTATTCTATTTATTTAAAAGACAGAAGCAGAGGTCTCCCTTTTGCTCCTTAACTTCCCAAATAACCACGATGGTCCAGGGCTGGGCCAGGCAGAAGCCATGAGTCAGAAACCACAACTGGATCTCTAAATGCATGTGGCAGGGGCCCAAGTTTTTGAGCAATCTTTTGCTGCTTTCCCAGGTGCACGAGCATGGAGCAGTAGAGACTAAAACTCATTATACTACAATGCTAATCCCTTTAGATAATAAATCTGGCAAATTATCTCTCTGATAAGACAACTGATGAGAATGACTATGAAGCTTTCATCTGGAAACAGTATGACTGAACAATCTTTCAGGTGAAAGAGGAAATTTCAACGAGTAATTAAAAATTAACCTCCATGTCAAAGAAACCTGTTATTCCTTCCCAAAGGAAGTATACAATCTATGGTTCACTTCAGTTTTGGTTCAAGCATCAGAACCAAAGACTCTCAAAGAGATATCACATTCATATTTATATGAAGGAAATGTTAGTGAGGTGGGCTCTGTTTAGAAATTCCAATAATAAATAACACTAAAAGTACCAATATTACTAATAGAAGGAGCTTTGTTTGGGGTAGAGCATATATTTATTAAATATTTATCCAATTATATAGAAGATGTGATTTGTGTGATTTTACTTTATTCTTTTAATTTTTTAGTGTTGATCAAGAACATATAGCTGCTCCTTGGTATCTATAGAGGATTATTTCTAGGACTCCAAAAATCTACAGATGCTCTTAAATAAGATGGCATAATTTGCTTATAATCTATGGACATATTACTATATATATATTTTTAAAAGATTCATTTATTTTTATTGGTCAGATATACAGAGAGTAGGAGTGACAGAGAGGAAGATCTTCCATTCAATGATTCACTCCCCAAGTAATCGCAACAGCCGGTGCTGTGCCAATCCGAAGCTAGGAGCCAGGAACTTCTCCAGGTCTCCCACATGGGTGCAGGGTCCCAAGGCTTTGGGCTGTTCTTGACTGCTTTCCTAGGCCATAAGCAGGGAGCTGGATGGGAAGTGTAGCTGCCAGGATTAGAACCGGTGTCCATATGGGATCCTGGGGTGTTCAAGGCAAGAAATTCAACCATGAAACTATCATGCTGGGCCCTGTATATTACTTTCGGTAATATGGCCATTTTGATGATGTTGATCCTGCCAATCCAGGAACATGGTAAGTTTCTCCATTTTTCAATGTCTTCTTCTACTTCCTTTTAAAATGTTTTATAGATTTCATCAGAGGTCTTCCACATATTTAGCTAGCTTAATTCCTAGGTATTTAAAGATTCTTCTCTGCTATTTTAAAGGGGATTGTACCTACAATTTATTTCCCATTCATGGAATTATTTGTGTACATTAGTGCCATCTATTTGTGTTCATTAATTTTGTATCCTTCTATCCTGCCAATGTCTTTTATGAGTTCCAGTAATCTCTCTCTCTCTTTTTTATCTTAGGAGGTTTATTTCAGCGGGGGAGGAATGGGGTTTTTGAGAGGTGAGGAGGAAAAGGAGAAGAGAGGGGGGAAGGGCGGCCAGACGGAGAAGAGAGAGCGTTTCAGTAGTCTCTTGACTGAGTTTTTTTGGTTCTCCTATGTAGAGAATCATGTCATCTGCAAATAGAGATAATTTGTTTCTCATTTCCGATTTGGATTTCTTTAATTCCTTTTTCTTGCCTAATGGCTCTGGCAAGGACTTCTGATACTATATTGAAGAGTTGTTGTGAGAATAGACATCCCTTTCTAGTTCCAGATTTTAGTGGAAAGGTTTTCAATCTTTCCCCATTTTGTATGATGCTGGCATTGGGTTTTTTGCTAATTGCTTTGATCATATTGTAGAATGTTCCTTCTATGCCTACCTTGCTTAGGGTTTTCAGCATAAAGTGTGTTGGATTTTATCAAATGTATTCTCTGCATCTATTGAGATGATCATATAGTTATTATTTTTCACTTTATTGATGTGATGTATCACATTTATTGATCTGCGAATGTTGAACAATCCTGCATGACTAGTATGAATTCTACATGGTCTAGGTGAATACATTTGCCCGATGCACTATTGGATCCTGTTGGCTAGTATTTTGATGAGGATCTTTGCTTCTACCCTTTTTCTGTTGTTTCTCTATCTGGCTTTGATATTAAGGTAATATTGGCTTCACAGAAAGAGTTTGGAAGAATTGCCTCCCTTTCTATTGTTTGGAAAAGCTTGTGGAGAATTGGGTAAGTTCCTCTTGAAATGTTTGGTAGAATTCAGCAGTAAAGCTATCTGGTCCAGGGCTTTTCTTGGTTGGGAGGGCTTTAATTACTGATTCAAGCTCATTGCCTGTTATGGTGGATTGTATGTGTCAAAAAAATCTATCCATTTCTTCTAGGTCTTCTGATTTGTTTGTATATAGTTGCTTGTAATTGTTCCTAATAATTCTGTGTATGTCTGAGGCATCTGTTGTTATATTTCCTTTCTCATCTCTGATGTTATTGATGTGTATCCTCTTCCTCCGTTTTTTGATTAGTTGGGCTAGTGGGGAGTCTATTTTGTTTATTTTCTCAAAGAACCAGCTCTTTGATTCATTGATTTTACATACAGTTCTCTTGGTTTCTATTTGGTTTACTTCCTCCCTTATTTTGATTATTTCTTTTTTCCTACTAACTTTGGGATTGCTTTGCTGTTGTTTTTCTAGTTCCTTCAATGTAAGGTCAGCTCATTTACTTGATGTTTTCTAGTTTCTTAACATAAGCATTGATTGAGATGAGCTTTCCTCTTAACACTGCCTTGATTCGATTCCAGTGTTGTGAGCTCTGTCCCACCACCAGTCTGCCCTGCGGAGTCTGCTGTTCCCTTTCCCTTCATTGTTGGGCCAAACTATTTGGTAGGATTAGCCAATCCCAGTCTATCTTTGCCTCCTGAACTCCCCGTATGAACTCCAGCTCCCACCTGGCTGCTGCAAGAGCCAGGAAATAACTTCTTCAAATATTATTTTTTATTTATTTGAAAGAAACAGTTATGAATTGAAGAGGAGGAACAAGACAGACAGAATCTTCCATCTGCAGGTTAACTTTCCAAATGGATGCAATGGTCAGGGATCGGCCAAGCTGAAGCTTGGAGCCCAGAGCTTCCTTTAGCTCTGGTTAGTTAAGTTGGTACATGGGCCCAAGCATTTGGCCTATCTTCCACTGTTGTCCTAGGCATATTAGCAAGGAGCTGGATCAGAAGTGGAACATCCAGGACCTGAAGTGGTGCCCATATGGGATGCTGGTGTCACAGGAAGGGGATTAGTCTGCTACTACACCACAACACTGGCCCCTCACAAATAATCTAATTTGTTAAGAATTCTAGTGAGAGTAGTAGTATAGAAGAGTGATTCTGTGCAGCAACAGCTGTTGGGGAAAACTTTTACTGTAGTAACATTACTAATCATTTAGTAACTAATCATCCCATTCAGGCATTCTACATATTTTTATTCTTTAAAATATCACTGAGGGACCAGCACAGTGCAGCAAAGGGTTGCATCCCTGCCTGTCACTCTTGTATAGCATATGAGCACAGTTCAAGTCTGGGCTGTTCAATTTACCTGGGAAAGTAGAGGAAAACGGTCCAAATACTTGGACCCCTGCTCTCCTGGATAGAGTTCCAGCCACTGGCTTCAGCGAGCCCAGCTGTGGCTGATGCAGCCATTTGGAGAGTAAACCAGATAATGGAATCTCCATCGTTCCTTTCTCAGCCAGTCTGCCTTTCAAATAAACAAATCTTTAGAAAAATTAATCATCATTAGTATTCTTTTATTCTAGTAGAAAACCTTTTAAGTCTCTGGAATAAAAAATTAGACATGGGGCCCGGCGCTGTGACCTAGTGGCTAGAGTCCTCGCCTTGAATGCACCAGGATCCCATATGGGCACCGGTTCTAATCCCGGCAGCTGTGCTTCCCACCCAGGCCCTGCTTGTGGCCTGGAAGGCAGTCGAGGATGACCCAAAGCCTTGGGACCCTGCACCTGCATGGGAGAGCTGGAGGAAGCTCCTGGCTCCTGGTGTCGGATTGGCACAGCACCGGCAGTTGCGGTCACTTGGGGAGTGAATCATCAGACAGAAGATCTTCCTCTCTGTATATCTGACTTTCCAGTAAAAACAAAACAAAACAAACAAAAAACAAATTAAAAAAAAATTAGACATGATCCTTTTGTCTGGGCTTTATTTTCATGTCCCCTTCTGTGAGTTAATATAACACCTCACTGGTAATAATAGCTGAGAATACTGTAATCCTGGAAGGATAGAATCAAAGGTGTCCAAGAAAGAGCAGTTAACATTACCTTTATGTTGGAACTGTGTACTTCTGCAAGAAGAATTTGTTCTGGCTTAAGACCACAGAGGTCACTCAGCTGTTTTTTCAAACCAGTGTACTTTTCATCCATATTTAGTCTTAGTCCGTATCGTACAGGGGTTGTACCATCTAACTTAATTACTAATGAAGAGAAAAGATCTTTTATCAGTAAAATCCAGGTTTTTCTGGCAGTCTTACAAACTACATGCAGATGTACGTTTGAAATTAAAAGAAATAAACAAGCATAAAAATAGGCTTACAACCAAAAATTTTAAATCATGCTGACTGTACTGCTGGATTATAACTATTATGACAACCACTCATTAGAAGTTATCATAAGTAAATAACAAATTTAGACTGCTTAAATAAGGTAATTAAAATGGATTCAAGTAATATTTCAGAATTTTGTTACTTACCTGTTATTTCTAAATGCATGTAACTATCCATTGGTAGTGGCAAAGACAAAAAATTGAAGGGGTCAAATCGGACACTTATATGTCCACATGTCTTACATTTAACCTGGGATCTTAGCTGCCCATGAAACAGATCCACAACAATTGATCGATTTCTCCTCAGATGGTTGTCCCACGCCTAGTAAGAAAAAAGATAAAACTTTTTTTTTAAGTTCAAAAGATTAAGTATTTTTTTTAAAGATTTATTTATGTGGGCCCGGCGGCGTGGCGCAAGTGGTTAAGGTCCTCGCCTTGAACGCCCAGGATCCCATATGGGCGCCGGTTCTAATCCTGGCAGCCCCTCTTCCCATCCAGCTCCCTGCCTGTGGCCCGGGAAAGCAGTCGAGGACGGCTCAAAGCTTTGGGACCCTGCACCCGCATGGGAGACCCAGAAGAGGCTCCTGGCTTCGGATCGGCATAGCATCGACCTTTGCGCTCACTTGGGGAGTGAATCACCGGACGGAAGATCTTCCTCTCTGTCTCTCCTCTCTGTATATCCACCTTTCCAATAATAAAAATAAATCTTAAAAAAAAAAAAAAGATTTATTTATGTATTGGAAAATCAGATACACATAGAGGAGGAGAGACAGAGAAGAAGATCTCCCATCCTATGATTCATTCCCCAAGTGACTGTGACGGCTGGTGCTTCGCCAATCCGAAGCTGGGAACCTGGAGCCTCTTCCAGGTCTCCCACGCGGGTGCAGGGTCCCAATGCTCTAGGCCGTCCTCAATTGCTTTCCCAGGCCACAAGCAGGGAGCTGGATGGGAAGTGGAGCTGCCAGGATTAGAACCGGCGCCCATATGGGATCCTGGTGTGTTCAGACTTTAGCTGCTAGGCCACGCTGCCGGGCCCCAGGATTAAGTATTTATACACAAATGCAATGAAACTGATTAAATATAATAGCTCTAACTATCAAGGGTATAAACCTTAATCTCCACTTAAAATATAAAAATCTTTTCACCTACATGTATAACCTAGATATGTAATTAAAAATGTATTACACAAGAGAAAGCAGAAAACTTGTTATGGAATAAAATGTAATTTTTGTTCAAAATACTGGATTCAGATGGGAACAGCTATTTTTCATTTGTTCTTACTATGATAACAATCATGAGTATTAAAATTCTTTGACCATTACAATAAAGTAGATAAAATATGCTTATTCAAACAAAGGAGCTGCTCAACTCAAAATACCAAAGTAAAGGGGAATGAAAAAGGTATAACCAGTTTATCATGTGTCTATGTGTTGAAATATTGTACTATATGCTTTACAAATATATAAATACTACATGTTAATCCAAAATTTAAAGTGGGAAAACAAATCTGTACTGAAAGTCTTCACCAAAATATATCTACAGAGAATTATGCATTGCTTTAGCAATCATGGGAATGAGGAATCTAAATTTTGCTGCATAATCATTCCTGCTTCCCAATTATATAAAGTTTATCATTTGAAATGGCAATATTTGTTTCTATTTAATGTTCAGTTTTCATTATAGCATAGGAATTAAGCACAGATACATAAATACCTTTGTTTTCACAGAATTCTGGCCACAGAACAATTTAGTTTGCATTTAATTTCTATCACACTTCTTTGTGATCAGAACATTTTACTTATTACTTACATCAGAAATTCACAACTGGGCCCGGTGGCATGGCCTAGTGGCTAAAGTCCTCACCTTGAATGCACCGGGATCCCATATGGGCACCGGTTCTAATCCCCGCAGCTTCACTTCCCATCTAGCTCCCTGCTTGTGGCCTGGGAAAGCAGTCGAGGACGGTCCAAAACCTTGGGGACCCTGTACCCCTGCAGAAGACCTGGAGGAGATTCCTGGGTCCTGGCTTTGGATCAGCATAGCACTGGCCGTTGTGGTCACTTGGGGAGTAAATCATTGGATGGAAGATCTCCCTCTCTGTCTCTCCTCCTCTATGTGTATCTGACTTTCCAATAAAAATAAATACATCTTTAAAAAAGAAAGAAACTCCAAACTGACAAACCTCGGCAGCTACTTCCCAATCGGGTCGGCCATCACTGTCCTTGAGTTCCACATATGGCTTCTCATGGACTCGGTTCAGATCCTCATGGAGACCATCCAAGAGAAAAGCCAGAAGCTCCTGGGAGTCTTGTTGTTGGAATCCATTAAACCTTGGTGCGTATTTGGCTATTGTCCACTATAAATGTAAGAGAAGTCATGGCCATTATTTCCCACTCATAAAATCTGGGATGAACACGCCTTATAATTGAATCAGAGAGTCCATATAAAGTAATTCAGTAGTTTGCCTCTATCATATCAAATATGTCTTGGATAATCATGAAAAATTTTGGCTAATATTATAGTAGTATCAAATAAGCAAACTGAACTCTTCAAGGACACACAGATGGGAAACAGAACTAATAAAACAGAAGTAATAAAAGGGCCTTTGCTCACATTCAGAGACTTTTTGCTCTATGTAATGTTTTCCTACAGTTTCACCTTCTGGTTCTGTTGCAAGGTAATTTTACGACCGGGGGCAGGGCAGCATGAACCGTTTAACTGTGCAGACTTACAGATTTGTCACAGTGAGTAAGGCGTTTGATAACCACTCTGAGTCTTCTTTTCTTCAGTCATAAAATAGGGATAGTAATATCGTATTATGTTATAGCACTAGTTAAAGATTTAAATGGGTGGTAAGCGCTCAACATTTTTAGCTTTTGTGCTTTTTAATTTTTAACCTAAAAAGCTTTCGCCTTGTTTTAAAGTAGGATAATAGTTTAAACTCATCTAAAATCCACAATGTCTGTTATTAATTTAAAACTTGCAGCCATTTATTACATTCTTTTACCCTGTTACTTTTTTATGTTTTCCAAATGAAATTAATTGTCTTAGTGATGTTGGAAATGTATTGGGTATATCTGAAGTCAATCATGCAGTTAGCTACAGACAATAGTGAAGGATTACCAAAAAATGTTTACTTATTGTACAAGGAAGATATTTGATAAGTTAATAAAATGAACTACACCCAAAACTTTTAAGTGTGCCTTTGGTCTTTTCTGACACACTAGATATTAACAGTATTTCAACAAGTTAATGGCAAATAGAATGAAAAGTTTATTTAGCTAAAGTATTTTGACATTATTTGCAGTTTTTTCCAACATGCATGGGTTTCATGAACTTTTTGAAGATCTCTGCATATAGCAGTGTTGTGTGTACACATGGACATATTAAAATATTTGACATGTGGACCCCAAATCACTGACTTAACTTCAGTTAAGAAGTTAAAAACTTAAATAAGGAAAAGCATGTAGAGAAAAATGATTCTTAAGTAACAGTTTAAGAATTAGAAATTTTTTACGTTATTTTAACCTGCTCACCCGAAGCTTTAACGGGGCAACGTTCTTCTGAGTACCACTCCAGAGCTCCTGTACTAAATCACCATAGCATTTAGCCATATGACCTTTCATACCGATGGGATTTGTCCTAGAAGTTTGAGAGCAAAATTAGTACCAAAGATTCTCAAAAATCACAATCATGTGACGAGAGATGCCCAACATTTTACATCAAGTTATCTTTTCCTTTTGAAGAAAGATGGATATCCCTGAGGTCTTATTTCATACTAAATAGGGCTCTAAGATTTTTTTCAATCAGGGTCAAGAAATTTAGGTGATACCATATTCATATCAAAGTCACAGCAGATTAAGAGGTCAATAGTTCAAAAAAAGATTACCTGTTGAGTTCATAAAGATGTCTCCCTGAGATAAAATACTGTGTCAGTGGCTGTGTGTTACTAACACACTGGATGCTTGAATTCATGAAGCATGTATTTCCCAGGTTACTCAGACCAGTAGCTCCCTTTTCTGTGGGAACTAGAACAAACAATATAACAATCAAAGCTGAGTTATGGGAATGTTATATAATAAACAGTAACTTGTGTTCAAAGCACTGAGTTTTATAACTCTTTTTAAAAAATGTTTTTTAAAGATTTATTTTTATTGTTATCTTTTTATTGGAAAGGCGGATATACAGAGAGGAGAGACAGAGAGGAAGATCTTCCGACCGATGATTAACTCCCCAAGTGAGCACAACAGCCGATACTATGCCGATCTGAAGCCAGAAGCTTCTTCCGGGTCTCCCACGTGGGTGCAGGGTCCCAAAGCTTTGGGCCATCCTTGACAGCTTTCCCGGACCACAGGCAGGGAGCTGAATGGGAAGTGGGGCTGCCAGGATTAGAACCAGCGCCCATATGGGATCCCGGGCGTGCAAGGCGAGGACCTTAACCACTGCGCCACGCCGCCGGGCCTGAGTTTTATAACTCTTAATCCACGAAAGGGGGGAGCTAATCTTTATTTTAGCAGGTCTTTCAAATGTTAAAATTGAGAAGGTCTAGCTTGAGCAATTGTGATGAGCCAGCCTCATTTGTAACTCATAAGGAACAATTATCCTAATTTCTAGGATTTTTAAAAAGAAAACTCGATTGTTCTGCTCGGGTCTGTGAGGTGGGTGTGGAGGACATGAAGGTGTGACAAGAATTGTTCCACTGCAGGCAAAGCCGCAAGGAATTTCCCTCTTCATGGCAAGGCCCAGCAGATGTCTCTGCATCCACCTGAAGGCATTTCCACTTCCCTTTCAATGGACACTGGACAACCCCACTGAGATTTCTGTAATCTATTTAGCCAATGTCTGCCACTATCAATGTGAGCTTGGAAGCCCCCAATGACCACATACTAATCAAGGGCGTTAAGTCCCTGGGTATAGTGGGAATCTATTATTTCCCTCTTTCCTTGATCTTTAGATCCCTCCCTCTGTGATGCACTTTCTTCATTAACTGATTCAAGACTAACTTGTAGAATGAAGATTGTAGTAGGAATGTGTTACTGATTGATAGGTGCCTTCTATTGAGAACCTCCTGACCACAGGATTAGGATGGCTGATATCCTGCCTCAAGGTGAAACAAAGGGCATAATTATCCTTGGAAACACCCACTTGACCATGATGTAAAAAGTGTGTGCCAGAGCTTGTGACTGCTTCTGTATAAGTAAAGGGGTCAGCTTTCTTGCACTGTCCATTATGATCCTGAAATTGTAGTGGTCCATTTCTTTTCTATGCCGAATCCACGCACCCTTCTTGAGTTCCGAACTCTACTGCAGCTGGACTCCAGCAATGTCCTTCCAGAATATTTCAAACATTAAAATTATTGGGGCCGTGCTCTTGTGGTAGCTAGTTAAGCACCTGGGATCTCATATGGGTGCCAGTTGAGGTACTGGCTGCTCTATTTTGGATCCAGTTCCCTGCTAATATGCTTCAGAAAACAGTGGCAGGAGGTATAGTCATGTGTCTGCTAAAGATGGCTGCACTACAGAGTTAAGCAAAGGTTATAGCGTGAGCCTTGGCAGTGGCTGCTGTGTGAGGATGAGCGTCAAGGGCTCGAAATGGGAAATCATGAACCAGGTACTGTCAAAGAAAACTTCACAACTCTGGATATCATAATCAGAAAAATTAGTCAGCTTCCAGATCCAGAAAGGAATCTACTCGAACATGGATCAACATATGTTGGAATTAACACTTCTGAATTAACAATTCTGTTGGAATTTAACAGCCTAATAGGAAACAGTCTTCTACTGTGTGTCATTAATTTGACTCATGTGCCTATAGCTGCTGGCTGACCAATGGCAGCGATTCCATTTTTGACAGCACATGTATCTTACAAAGATTTTGTGAGTTTTCTTTTGAATACAGGCAATTTAAATTATGAAACCTGTGCCTCAATACAGGGTGGTCTGGTTGGTCTTGTTTTTGGTGATCTATACCCTATTTTTTTAGTTATACCTTATAGCCAGGTTTCAATCAATCAGTCCTGATGCCAGAGAAAGGAAGCATCATAACTTGCTGCATTAGAATTTCAAAGCCTGTATTTAGGAAGATGGCAGTTCCCATTTTGCTCCAGACTGCGTTTGCAGCATACCTGGGGTCTAGAGAACATCAACTACTTATAAAGACCCTCTAGCTACCTGCAACTGGCTTAAAATATCACCAAATTAAGTAAATACATGTGCAAAAATAAAATATTAGAAGAAATAAAATGTACGTAAGATTATGAATACAGGCTTGTCATTTATCATGTGAAATGCAAGTCTGAAGCTTAAAGGCTTGCACTTAGTCCAGTCTCATCCAATTCAGTGATGTGAAAAGTGAATCTGTGGACAGAAGACAACTCTCTGTCTTTCTCTCTGTAACTCTACCTTTCAAATAAATAGTCTTTGGAAAATAAAAGTTAAATTATTTGATTTCTGAGTTAGAAATTTAGAAAATAACATGAGGTTGAGTTTTTATTTTTATCAACATCAAATGCTACTTCAAAGAAAAAAGAAAGACAAAGTCTAACAACTTTTTAACTGGAAAACCAAAACTTGTTAGCACTGCAACAGCTGAGAGAAGAAAACAAGAAATACATTTAAAATTATCTCGGAAAATAATATACTAAAGACTTACCCTTGTGTCTGTCTATTTTACTGCTGTTCGCTATAAAGGACATCTCCTCAGGCCAACTCATGTCTTTGTTGCGGACTGTAAAGAGAAGTGGGAACATATTATTTTTATCTGCACAATTTAAACCCACTCAATTTCCTCTGCTTGAAGATTTCTAAATCAGAAACCCAAAAAAAAAATCAATTTAAATAATTGGCTCTAAAACCATTCCTATTCTTTATATTGTTAGAATAAGTTATTACTTCAATTGTCTACTCAAAGTGAAATTATACCCTATCATCTATAAATGTAATTAAAGCTTAGATACAATGGAATTTTTAAATCTTTAACCACCAGAAATATTATAATTCTTTCTTAAACTGTATCCATGTCAGAGTAATCTACTCAATTTAACACAATGGTTAGTAGTATTTCCATAAATCTTAAAAGAAAAAAAAAAAAAACAACCCACCAAAAACCAAAAAACAAAAAAACAAACCACTGTCTAAATCAATGTGTGAATTCACAAGCAGCTCTGCTGGTGAGCAGCCACTGTCGATGACTAATGAAACCTGTATGGCACTAACTATGTAAGAAAGCTGATCTCCTCACTCTAAATCTCAAAACAATTTGAAAATCTTAGGAAACTGCAGTTTGTAACTGAGTTCAAGTGTGAAACTTTCTCATCCCTTGTTAGCCAGTGACTATAGGCAAGTTATTTTCCTTTTAAAGAAATCTACATTTAATGAGGTTATTAAAATTCAGCAGGCTTTCTTTACCATAAAGAATATAATGATCAAATTAATCTGCTTTGGAAAAAATTATAAATTAATAACTCTTCATATTCGCCCATTAAGAATCCAACAGGAGTGTAGATGTATACTCCCATGATCACCTACCCTCAATGACCAGGTGCTGTTCATCCTGAATTTTCAAATATTCCAATCTATGATCTTCATCATCCAGAAGTGTAAGGTAATTCTATATAATGAGATCTTTTTGTTAATTCTCTTAGCAAACTTGAAACAAATATAAAAGTAAAAAAGAATGATAAAAACTTTTTGCAGTTACATAATCCATTTACAAATATTTGGGAAATTAGAGTTGGCCGGAAATACTGAGCAGCACAACAAAGGAAGGACAACATTGGGTTTATATTGTATATTCCTCAAATAATATTACATAAGACTAGGGGTGGAGACCAGCGAAAACACACAAGACATTTAAAACTAAAGCTTGTTGAGACTTAGATTTTCTGATGAGTTTGCAGACATCTTTAGTACCCAGTGTGAAGTTTAGTAAGTGTGCTGAATGGAATTTGATCACTTATTTAGGAACTGAAAATATGGAACCAAACACAAAATTAGTTCCTTTAATAAGCTAACAATCTGAGGAGACACTGTTACATTCCTATTTCACTCATGACAAACCTAAAATACAAAGATTAAGTGATCTGCCCTTAGTTACACAATTTTAAAGTGGCAGAGCAGGCATTTAATCTGACACCGTGACTCCATGTGCAATACAGTGTAACTTGTTGGGCAATACTGCCCCTCACTGGTGACCAAAGAAAGAATGCACAGTGAAGAGATCTGGTTAAAAGCACACTTAAGATCCAATTTCAGGGTATGATCTACAGTGACTGTGGTAGGCAATTAATAGCATTGCCGTGGAGAAGAGGGGTTAGAGGATAAGAAGAGATTTCCATCGTTTATTTGTGTACTGTATATTTTTGGCATATATGTATAAACAACCTTAAATAAAAAATAAAATAAAAAACAGTTGATCGTAATCTTTATAATACTATCACAATCAAATGTTATTATGAATCCTGAGTGACAATGATTTACATATACACATACAAATATAGAGCTGAAATTTTCACTGAGATTTTACACATGGCTTTTTAATTACTATGGAGACAAATCCCACACTCATAAATAAAGATTTAATACTTTTTAAGACTTTTTATGACTCTTACCTCACTATTGTACAGCCACAGGCGCATATCCTCCTCTTTGATGCGCAGCCTTTGAGACAGATATTCATGAATCTCTTTGATGGTCTGCATTCGACTAAAACAGCCTGTATAGGCTAAGACTCGCTTTAAAGGTGCATTCGGAGAAGGTACATTTCCTATGGTCACAGTAATCACAATAAGGAAAAAGGCAGGTATAAAAAAGAACATTCGTTTCAGCAATGGGGCCCATGCTATTTTGGAAAATAATGTTAAATGAGGCTTAATTTTATAAATGAAGTGTACCATAAAGTTTTAAAAATAGAAGCAGGAGACTAAAGTGTCTAGAAGTGAGTTGAAAGTTTGACCTTGGAAAACAACAGCAACAAAAGTCCAGAGCCCAAATGATTGGCAATATTAAGATCCCAAGGAGAGTGGGGACATGATGGAAAATGACTGGCAATGCTAAATGGCTGCTCTTAACTGGGTCACACTCATCAGCAAAAGGAAATAAAAGCCCCTGTAAGAACGTGAGGGAGATAGAGGCTGACACTGCAGCATGAGTTAAGCTGCTGCCTGCAATACCAGCTTTCAATAAATAAATCACAATAATTAAAAAAAAAAAAAAGAATGGGGGGAGAAAACATGAGATGGGCTGCGAAGTCCAGATAGATAATTGGATTCACCTGATTCAATTTCTTAAAATAGCCCTCAAATCACTAATCCCATCACTCACAGCCATTAAATGGCCCAGTTATCTGGCACACTTAGTACAATTACACAATAGAAGAGAAATTGAGTTAAAATTCTAAATAGATACAGAGTACACATGGCCAAATAATTTTAAAATGAAACCAAAAGACTTCCCATGATGAAATACATATGTAAAGTCTTATTGAAAAGGAGGAGGAACAAAAAAAATTACGTAGTCTGTTAGACCAACAACAGCGCAGCAAAGAATCTGAATTCCTGAAGGGTCAAAGGCTGAAACACAAAGTGGAAGCCATCCTGCAGCACGGCAGGAGCTTGGGTCTAGGCACCCAACTCCCAGAATATCAGAATCCCAGGATGCTCAAAGCCCTTAACACAAAATGGGCAGGACTGAATTTAACTCAGACACACCCTTCTGTATACTTTAGGATGTTTAACCTGCAGATAAGATGCGTGACAGTACAGGGAGAAAAGGAGAAGATTGAAAGAAGAATGTATCAAGAAGAATTCATACTTCTGAAGAGGGTGAAATGACAAGAGATTATGGAAGTACCTCCCTGCACCTTCCCCTCCAAAAAAACCTTGTTAGGCTTGGTGGTGGAAGTGTGGTATAACTTGTAAAACCAAGGCCTAGGGCACTAGCATCCCATTTGGGTGCTGGTTCAAGTCCTGGTTGCAATACTTTCAATCTAGCTTCCTGTTAATGTGCCTGGAAAGCAGCAGAAGATGGCTCAAGTCTGGCCACTGCAGCTATGTGGGAGATGTAGAAGAAGCTACTGGGTTCCTGGTTTTGGACAGGCCCAGTCTTGGCCTTTGCAGCCATTTGGGCAGTGAACCAGCAGATGGGAGATCTCTGTCTCTTTTTTTTTCTCTTTGTAATTCCTTTAAATAATAATAATAATGATGATGATGATGAAAGAAAAAAGAAAAGATTGCTAAATCCCAGTTAATTATTCAGTGAAAAATAAAGACAAAGCTGAACCTTACATGGTCACCCCTGGCTATGTATAGGAAGCTGTATTTTATTATACAACCTCAATTGAAAGTATAAATCCACCAACATAATCCTTTCAGTGTATAAACACACACTCCAGGCAGTTTCCCAGCCAGTCAGTGGCGATTTGTCTCTTCCTGCCACTTCATGGGCTTTCAGTAAGTTTATACTTACTAAATAAGCAGATAAAAATACTGGCATCATCAACTTTGCAAAGCTTCTAAAAAAAGAAACTATTCACCTAAATTGGCTGAAAAATTATCTAAGGAATAATGACTTCTTTAGCCTTGTCTTTAGGAAAATCTACATCTAAGTTAAGGTAACTATGGCAAGGCTTGTCAATTCAAAAGGAAAGCAGAACCCATTAAACAGTTATTATAAATCAAGTGTCTGAGAAAGATGAACATTATGTTATGGCAGAAAAAAACTTAACCATAATCAATTTTTAAGAACATAGCAAAGCAAATCTTTTACTATGAGCAAGCAAAGGATAATCTCTAAAAGAAAACAAAAAAGCAAATTTTTCTAATTACACATCAGAGGATTAGTTGTAAGATTACAGCAAGAAAAACATGTTTTATAAACTTCAAAATGATTAATGATTGATTTCACAGTTAATTAGTAAGGAATGAAATCTCAAATTAAGAACAAATTTGGAGCATCAGAACTGCCCAATTCCAGGATTCAGAAGCATTTGCAAGCATAGTGTCCAAGTCAATCTCTATTGTCCTAAGCCACAATAAGAAACTTTGAGTTCTTTTTATAGCAAGCTCATTATATAGGCAGCCACTTATTAAAAATAATTGTGTGGTTTTGAATGGCACCAACAAATCTAGTGGAATTTATAGAAGCAGCAAAAATCTAGGTAGGATTCACACAAGAGTTATAAAGAATACTTACTAAAAGCGCAACAACACATCTTGCCTCTCATGTTATCTTTCAAAGAGAATTGAAAAAGACATATGCTATGGGTGCCCATGAAATCAAATCTAATACTTGCAGTTATTGGAAAATTAAACCAAGAAATTTTCATAGGAATTCTATTTCACTATTCCTCAACGTTTTCCCCAAAGACAAAGTTTGGTTAGAAAGAGGTCACTGGCTTGTTATACTTCTTACTAAATAATACATAAGCGAATAATCATATATTATTGGAGTTTAATCTTTAAGAAAGAATTAACCGTGTTTAAATTTAAAGTTAGAAGGGTACTTACACAGGATCAGCTTGAGTTTCTGTGTATTAAGTTACAATACAGCCTGAGACTGTATAAATGGGTGAACTCATTTACTATTGAAAAACAATTTCATATATTTGCAAAACAAAGTACAGAGCAAGGATCATCCAACAATAACCGCTCACTTTATAGAAATAACTTTATCTTATACAAAAGCCAAGGGAGTTTTTTGCACACTATATATTAAAATAGAAACATTGTGTGTTTGATAGGTTTGGTGTCTTCCCAAGCCAATGTGTCAACTTCATTTTCAAAAATATACTCTTTACTTTGTATTCTCTTACTTTAAAAAACCTTCTTAGATCTAGCACACGAAATACATCATTTTTGCCAAACACTCTAAGAAGCAAATTCAAAACATGGTATGTCATAGGAATAGCATTTTAAATAAATTTGAGTGGAACTGAAAAGACAAATCTATGACCAGTAAACTATAATATGAGTCTAGCAACAGTTTACAATAGCTTACCTCACCTTAAAGAATTAAATATAAAAATCTATTCCTATTAACTATTTATGGAAATAATTTCTATCAGTTTGCTGCTGAGTTTTTGCTTCTATTCCCATGTAGTATTATCCATGACCAGAAATCTGAGAATCATGAATGAATTACTGATTTTGCATCAAAGTAGAAGGGAACATAAACTAGTACAGTGGCATCAGACTTAGAGCAACTTGGTATCACTATGTTTTTCATTTTTTTTACAAAAATGAAAATTCAGGGTATTCTTGCTGCATTCTTAAGTTACCTCTTGGTAAATGCTGAGGAAACATTCTCAGGCTCATCATACCCATATTCACCCAGATGTTGGATTGCTGTGTCCGGGTGGCAGGCTGCTGTCGCAGGAAGAGAAGGTAGCAAGGAAACAATTCCAGTTCTGGGATGTCTGTCTTGCTATTCTTGATCACCTGTTTTGTTTAAAAAAATAAATAAATAAAAGTGATCATTCTAAAAGAAACAAAAAATTACCTTAATGAGATTTATCATTACAAATCTGGGATTTAGTATACTAACACTAAAATGCTTCATATATTCATTACTTCAATAGTACTGAGACTCACATGAGTATATTAAATTACACAGATTTGAATACTTTCAGGTTCCTGTTCCTAAAACTATATTCTAAGAACAGAAATTCTTGTGAGTATTTTCTATCTTTAAATTAAAAAACACTAACAAAAAAATTGAGGAAAAGTCTTCGGTATTATCTGTAATTCTATTATAACCCTTCACTTTTTTTTTTTTTAAGATTTATTTACTTATTGGAAAGTCAGATAAACAAAGAGGAGGAGAGACAGAGAGAAAGATCTTCCGCCCGATGATTCACTCCCCAAGTGAGCGCAATGGCCGATGCTATGCCGATCCAAAACCAGGAACCAGGAACTTCCTCCAGGTATCCCACACAGGTGCAGGGTCCCAAGGCTTTGGGCTGTCCTCAAATGCTTTCCCAGGCCACAAGCAGGGAGCTGGATGGGAAGTGGAGCTGCCAGGACTAGAACCGGCGCCCATATGGGATCCCGATGCGTTCAAGGCGAGGACTTTAGCTGCTAGGCCACGCCACCGGGCCCTAACCCTTCACTTTTAAATATCATGTATAAAAATGAATAACTTTCTGAGGACAAATTCATACTGCTGGAGTTAAACAAGTAAAAATTTACAGATGTAGAGGTGTACATGGCTTTAATTACATAGTTGTATTGTCATTCAAGGGTTAACAATCCATACTATTCCAATAATGCACAATTACACTATGCTCATAAAACTGGATCACTGGACACTATTTAGTAACATCCCATTTCTTTAATGCATATAATTATGAATTTTTTAAAAAAAGATTTATATATTTTTATTGCAAAGTCAGATATATATATAGAGAGAGGAGGAGAGACAAAGAGAAATCTTCTGTCCGATGATTCACTCCCCAAGTGACCACAATGGCCAGTGTGCACCGATCCAAAGCCAGGAGCCAGGAACTTTAAAAACAAAAAAAAGATGTATTTGTTTTTATTGGAAAATCAGATATACAAGAGAGGAGGAGAAACAGAAAGGAAGATCTTCCATCCGATGATTCACTCCCCAAGTGACAGCAGCGGCCAGTACTGTGCCAGTCTGAAGCCAGGAGCCAGGATCCTCCTCCAGGTCTCCCATGGAGGTGCAGGGTCCCAAGGCTTTGTGCCGTCCTTGACTGCTTTCCCAAGCTCCAGGGAGGGAGCTGGATGGCAAGTGGAGCTGCCAGGATTAGAACCGGTGCTCATATGGGATCCCGGCACATTCAAGGCGAGGACTTTAGGCACAAGTCATCACGTTCAGCCAAAAATAAATAAATCTTAAAAAACAAAACAAAACAAAACAAAAAAACACAAAACTGGAGGTAAAGGCTGGCACTGTGCACTGTGGTGTAGCAAACCAAACCTTTACCTGTGTTGCCAGCATCCCATATGGGTACTGGTTGGAGTTTTGACAATTCCACTTCTAATCTAAACCCTGTGAACTGGGAAGGAAGAAGAGAAAGGCCCAAAAGTTGAGTCAGAGTGCTGTGAGCCAGTCACACCTCTACCCCCAATCCAGCTTCCAGGAGGCAGTAGGTGAGTTAAGTTTCAGTGCAGTTCCTTGCTCCTGGCTTGGGCCTTGTCCAGTCCTGGCTGTTAGCATTTTAGAAATTATCTATTGGTTATCTATTGGACAGAAGATCCCTCTCTTTGTCTCTTTTACTCTCTGTCATTCTGCCTTTCAAGCAAAAACAAATACATGGGGCATACAGATTGATCCTCTGTCTGTCGTGCTAGCATCCCATATAAGTGTCTGCTTATGTCCCAGCTGCTCCATTTCTAAATCCAGCTCTCTGATTATGGCCTGGGAAAGCAGTAGAGGCTGGCTGAGGTCCTTGGGCTCCTGCAGCCATATGAGAGACCCCAAAGAGGCACCTGGCTCTCAGTTTCAGCTCAGCTCAGCTTTGGCCATTGCATTTTAGCCACTGCATTTGGGGAGTGAACTAGCGGATGGAAGATTTTCTGTTTTTCCTTTTCTAATTCTGCCTTTCAAATAAAAATAAATAAATGTTCACTAAGACAAAATAAAACAAAGCAAACAACAACAGCAAAAGAAAAAACAAACCAAACCAAACAAAAAACCCACAACACAACGTTGGAGGTACAAAGCAAATATTATATGTTGTTGGAAAAGGATTTTTTTTAGATTTTTATTTATTTATTGGAAAGGCAGATATACAGAGAGAAGGAGAGACAGAGAGGAAGATCTTCCATCCGATGATTCATTCCCCAAGTGAGCACAACGGCCGATGCTATGCCGATCCGAAGCCAGGAGCCAGGAACTTCTTCCGGGTACCCCACACGGGTACAGGGTCCCCAAGCTTTGGGCCATCCTTGACTGCTTTCCCAGGCCACAAGCAGGGAGGTGGATGGGAAGTGGAGCTGCTGGGATTAGAACCGGCCTCCATATGGGATCTTGGCTTGATCAAGGTGAGGACTTTAGCCGCTAGGCCACGCCACGGGCCCTAAAAGGATTTTTTAAGCAGCTCCCCCAAAATGAACTGCTTATGAATCTGTTGTCACAGGAAATTACTTGCTTGTCAAAATACTGTATCAGAGTGGCATGGTATCAATTATATATCCTAAAGAGATAGCAGGTTAGTTCCCTCTACAACTAACATCCTCTGCAACACTTTTTTTTTAAATTTCAGAGTGACAAGAAGAACTTTTTCCACTCAATGGTTCCTTCTTCAAATGCTCTCCACTCAGCACTCCCAGTGGAGCTATCACCTGACATCAAGACTAAGGTATTGCGCGTGGCAGCGTGACCTGGAAGAGGTTCCTGGTTTCCGGCTTCAGACTGGCACAGCACCGGCCATTGCGCTCACTTGGGGAGTGAATCATCGGACGGAAGATCTTCCTCTCTGTCTCTCCTCTCTTTATATCTGACTTTGTAATAAAAGTAAATCAATCCTTAAAAAAAAAAAAGACTAAGGTATTAATGGATTCATGAACTGTTCAACTTCTCAATAAAAAAAAGAATCTTTTCATATACATAGGAATCTTGATGTCAAAAACAGAGTAGCAACAAATGCAAATTCTAAAGTAATGATTCCTAAACCTAAATTTTAATTACTGAAATTATCAGTAACTCAAAATCAACATAGTGGACTAGTGCTAGTTTTTGGAAGTTAATTTACCATATCTCAATTATGTAAAGCATTTTCTAGGTATAAGTAAGTTCTAATGAATACTATAAAAGGAAGAGTAATTCCAGATTACCAAGTAAAATATTATGAGGTATTTTACTGTTTCAACATGTTGAAAGTAGAGTTCAGAATAATGAGCCTGCTGTTTACTATGTAAGCACAGCAAGAGACTTGCTAATATTTTTGTTACATACTGCAAATTCTTTCAGGTATATTAAAGCTTTCAACTTCAAATGACTCATTCCAGTAACAGCAATAATAAAAATTGATTAGCCTTGAATTCCTGTCATCATACATTGGCTCTCAGTCCTCCTTTCTCTCCAATACAAGTTCCACATGATCTTACATGATGACTGTGTTTATGTGGATGACTCATTTAATAGCCTAGTGTCATAATTCCTTTATCTTTATTTAGGCCAGTGATTACTGTTTCAACCTCATGTTTGCCACCCACTCAACATCACTGTATGGTTGGTATCCAATATAATCTCAACAAATGTTGAATGAGTGAATGCAAAAGAACCTAAAATTGTTCAGCTGATCTCAACTGATTTCAGTACTATGTTATCATAAGGTAAGCACAGCTAGTGGAAAGTAAGGCTCAAATGGAAAACAATAGAAGACTCCATTTTTAGCCATTTCATAGATAAGGCACCACTGTACATACTTACTGGTCTAGGTAGGGCCAGGTTTGCTCCATACCAATGATAAAGTGCTCTCCATACAGGTTCAGGGACCATTTCATAATCTCTTCCATGGATCAGTTGTGGAGTTCGTTTTAATCGTCCTCCTTCTAGTGTTAATGATGTAGCCTTAGAAAGAACAAAATGTAAACACTGATTTTAAAAAGACACAGAGAGCAACAGAGACAGAGAACTACCCAACTGCCCACGATGGCTATGGCTAGGCCAAAGCTGAAGCAAGGAACCAGGTACTCGATCCACGTCTTTTCATGTCAGTGACAAGAACCAATCACCCAAGCAAATATTGATGTCTCCAGGCAACTTAGAACCAATAAGATCTGGAGCTAGATATAAAACTTAGGCACTTCCATATAGGGTACAGTTATGGGATTGCTAAGTATTGGCTTGTTGTATTTTTTTATTATGAAATATTTTGTCTTGAAAAAACCTACCTGTGGAAGAATAAACTCACATATCAGTACCTAGAAGTTTCATGTTTCTAGAAAAGCTCAATTTTCTAAAGGATATTTTACTTTTGACTTTCAAACAAGTTATTTTTAAAAACTCAACAAAAATCATTTGGAAAAATCACTGGCGGGCTTGGAAACAATAATACCAGCTTTCACATATTTTTTCAAACGACAAAAAGACTATTTTTGAAAGAAATTTACAAATACCTATGGAGCATTTTCATAGCAGTCATTCTCAAGTAAAAATACTACTTCCAAGGGCCACTATTAAGTCATATTCTCACAGAAATATACATGCAAAGAGGTTTTTCTTAGCAACAGCTAATTTGAACGACCCACCAGCATTCTGCTATGAAATAAAACCTCTCAGATGAAATTTAACTGGCAACCTGGTAAGGAATAACTTTAAGGCTGGAAGTCAAATTACCTACCTTTACTGGTTCTTGAGTTACTAGTGGCTGATTATCAATAGCCCCTGGTTTCTGAGGATTAAGGTGTAACAAAATATTCCCATTGGCGCCTAACAAACATTGGTTGTTATTGTCAGAAGTGTTGTGTTGTCGAGCAAAACACATATCTGCCCCCGGTGAGGCAGAATACAGAAAGCCTGTTGGGAAAAAGAGGATAGGATCTCTTATTTTAGTTTTTACACCCAAATAATATGAACTCAATAACCATGTTTGGGTTAACAATATTATTCTGCTGACAGGTCAGTACAGTGATTCTAGTAACTGTCGAAAAGGCAAGAGATGTGGCTATGAGGTTCGGTTTTCACAAAGTTTCCATTTATTCTTTCTTCCACCTGCAAAAATATTCCAAATACTCTTGGTGTGGTGATAGCAATTATCTAAACAAGCAAAGGAGCTAAAACAAGAACTCCAACAATGACCTATTTGAAAGGAAGGTATGATATTTACAACAGGAAAATGATTAATGACAATTTATGGTTGAATACCTCGGTGATTATTTTTTGGGATTAATTCTCAACTACATGTTAGGGTTAGGTAAACAATCTAGTCATCAAATCACTTTGTAAACTACCCAGGGGACTGCTGAGTCCTTGAGTAACAAAGGTTATATGGTAAGTATACATCAAACAGAACCTTAGACAGGCTCAAGAAATAATCGTGGTGTTAAAGTTACCAGAGTAACTCCAGGACCTCTGAGGCTGTTAAATCTTACTAATGGCAGATAGAGAAAGAGAAAAGCTGTAGGTTCTACAAAGATCCTTATAAGGAAAATGCTATCTCTGTTAAATTTTCTTGCTTAGAAAAGGAAAGTAATTCTCAAAGAGAAAATAACCACAGCGAAACTGAGAACAGGGGTCATCTTAACTCAGTAGGATCACAGAAACCAAAGCATGTGGAAACAGATGGTTTTAGGTAAGCACCAAGAACTGAAGGGAATTACAGGACACACTATGAATTTCTAATATTTTAACAAAATTAAGCCTCAAACTGTGTCCTGAAACATTCATAAAATCTGACGGGGCATTTAATTCAATGAAGAAATACTTAATGGTTAAAGAGAATATTAAAAAGGGAAATTTTTGCTTTCTTTTTTTTTTATTAATTTTAAGATTTATTTTTCTTATTATTTTTTATTGGAAAGGTGGATATACAGAGAGGAGAGATAGAGAGGAAGATCTTCCGTCCGATGATTCACTCCCCAAGTGAGCGCAACGGCCGATACTATGCCGATCCAAAGCCAGGAGTCAGGAGCCTCTTCCGGGTCTCCCACATGGGTGCAGGGTCCCAAAGCTTTGGGCCGTCCTCGACTGCTTTCCTGGGCCACAGGCAGGGAGCTTGATGGGAAGTGGGGCTGCTGGGATTAGAACCAGCGCCCATATGGGATCCCGGGCGTGCAAGGCGAGGACCTTAACCACTTGCGCCACCGCGCCGGGACCAATTTTTGCTTTCTTAAAGACTGTCTTCACAAGCCTAAACTTACTGAAAAAAAAAATCAACTTAATAGCAAGATGGAGAGATGAGATTTGATTAATGACACCAATGAAAATACTTCCATACTGAGATATTCATGGAGAAATGGTATTTTCCTTATAAATTTAATAAAACATCCAAGAATCTTAAAATTGGCTGCTTTATTCAAAACTTATTTGTGTGAGTGGAAGTCTGATGTACAATATTTCATCCCCAATGTCCTATGCTGAAATGGACTCCTTTATGAACTAACCATGACAAAACCTGGAAGGAAGTCATGCTCACCACTGCCAGTGGTTTCCGAAGCTTCAGATGCAGAAGAAACATTGTCTGAAAATTTCTCTTCTGCATTCCCATAGCTGATGCTGCCTCCAACTTCACTCTGTTCCATACAATGTACTGCTGTTCCAAATGAATATTTTCCTCCATTCATAACAGATGATGGCTCAATTACAACAGGGTTGGCATCCTGAAATGATAAAATCATAGTAAGTACAATTTAAAAACATGAAAACTAGGTAGCCCTTTGTTTTCTTAAAAGATTTATTTATCTTTCTTGGAAAGGCAGATTTACTGAGAGAAAAAACAAAGATCTTCCATCCACTGGTTCACTCCCCAAATGACTGCAATGGCCAGAGCTGAGCTGATCCAAAACCAGGTGCCAGGAGCTTCTTCCAGGTCTCTCAGGCGGGTGTAGGGTCCCAAGGCTTTGGGCCATTCTCAACTACTTTCCCAGGCCACGGGCAGGGAGCTGGAAGGGAAGTGGAGTAGCTAGGAAACGAACTGGCACCCATATGGAATCCTGCCAGATATAAGGCAAGTACTTTAATCATTAGGTTACCATGCTCGTTTTTAAAAAACATTTATTATTTTTACTGGAAATCAGATTTACAGAGAAAAGGTGATATATATATACACACACACACACACATATCTGACACTGTCACTTTAAAAAATGTTATTTGTGAGGCAGGCAATGGGTTTAAGCATGTAGGATGCCAGTTTTGGTGCCCACATTCCCAGCTCATGTTTGGTCTGGAGTTTAGCTTGAGTTCCCAAGTTCAGCTTTCCACCTGTGTAGATCTACCAATGTCATAAACCCAAACTGAGCTCTTAGCTCCTGGATTCACACTGCTCTAGGCCCGGTTGTTGCAGACATTTGGAGTGAGTCAGCAGATGAAAGCTCTTTCTTTCTCTTCTCTCCTCCCTCCCTCTCCCTTCCATCCCTTTCTTCCTTCATCTTTCTTCTTTTTTCCTGCCCTCTCTCCCTTACTTTCTTTCTAGCTCTAACTTTCAAATAGATTTAAAAACATTTATTGGGCCCAGAGCGATAGCCTAGTGGCTAAATACTCACCTTGCATAAGCCAAGATCCCAGATGGGTGCCAGTTTGTATCCCTGCCTGCTGCTCTACTTCCCATCTAGCTCCCTGCTACTGGTCAGGAAAGGCAGTCGAGGATGGCCCAAAGCCTAGAGACCCTGCATTCACATGGGAGACCCAGAGAAAGTTCCTGGCTCCTGGTTTCAGATCAGCTTAAATCTAGCTGCTGCAGTCACTTGGACAGAGAATCAGTGGATAGAAGATTTTTCTCTCTGTATCTCTGGCTCGCCCTATATCTGCCTTTCCAATAAAAACAAATACACCTTGGGCCCGGCGGCATGGCCTAGCAGCTAAAGTCCTCACCTTGAATGCCCCAGGATCCCATAGGGATGCTGGTTCTAATCCCAGCAGCTCCACTTCCCATCCAGCTCCCCGCTTGTGACCTGGGAAAGCAGGCCAGCATGGCCCAAAGCTTTGGGACCCTGCATCCACGTGGGAGACCCGGAAGAATTGCTGGTTCCTGGCTTTGGACCGGCATAGCATCAGCCATTGCGCTCACTTGGGGAGTGAATCATCAGATGGAAGATCTTCCTCTCTGTCTCTGCTTCTCTCTGTATATCTGACTTTCCAATAAATAAATAAATCTTAAAAAAAAAAAAAAACAAAAAAACCCCAAATACACCTTAAAAAATTATCTATTTTACTTGAAACTCAGAGTTAGAGAGAGAAGGAGAGAGGAAGAAAGACACAGATCTTCCAATTGCTTGTTAACTCAAATGTTCACAACAGCCAGGACTGGTCTGAAGCCAGAAGACAGGAACTTGTGGGTCTTCTATAATGGCCGTGCTTTCTCAGGCCTTTAATAGAGAGCTGAATCAAAAGTGGAATAACTGGGAATTTAACAGGCAGTCATAGGCGATGCTGGAAGAGCAGGTAGAGGATTAGCCTGCTATCCCACTGCACTGGTCCTCAAATAAAAGTTTTTAAAAAGTTACATGCTTTTAAAATGAAGTTACCTTTAAAAAAATGAGATTATTTATTTTTTTTATTGTAAAATCAGATACACAGAGAGAAGAGACAGAGAGGAAGATCTTGCATCTGATAATTCACTCCCCAAGTAGCCACAACAGCAGGAGCTGTGCCAACCTGAAGCCAGAAGCCAGGAACTTCTTCCAGGTCTCTCTCCCACACGGGCACCGGGTCCCAAGTCTTTGGGCTATTCCTGACTGCTTTCCCAGGCCACAAGCAGGGGGCTGGATGGGAAGCAGGGCTGTTGGGATTAGCTCTGGCACCCATAAGAAATCCCGACATGTGGAAGGCAAGGACTTTAGCCACCAGGCTACAAATTGCCTTTCATTTAGCAAATCATGCGTTACTAATTAATACACATTCAAAAAAGACTGCTATTATTCTGCTTATATTCCTACTGTACCCATCTAAGGTTCCATTACAAGCTGTGACAGTTTTCTACATCTTTCTCCTCATGGGAATGACACTCTTTCCAAGTATTTGTAACAACTAGTGTCTATTTGTTTATTTAAAAAAAGATGTAGAAAGGTTTACGAAGAAAAGGAAATACAGAGACAGACAGAGAAAGACAGAGAGAGAGAGAGAGAGAGGGAAAGACCCTTTAAATCTTTACCTACACTGCAGTATTTTGCTATTGGCTAACAGGTACACAAAGCCTGGCTCAAAATCATGCAATAAACACAGATAAATACAAATAGAACTCACGTATTTGACATATTCTTTCCATTGCTGCCACCACTGCATAGAGATGATAAACCAATTATGACCTGGCTGCAGGCCATATCTGCTCTCTCGTTCTAACCATCCCCTGTATATACAAAAGAATTTCAGTAAACCAAATGACATTGCATAAGACACAAGACAACATCTATAAACTACACTTGAATTTTAAAAAGGAATAAAATATGAAGCATGTCAATGTACACAGGTGATTATCACAATTCTAGTTAGTGAAACATTTTTGTTTCCATTGATTAACCAATTCCAAGATCATGATTAAACATCTTACTGATGATTTAAAGATAGTTTTTGTGAAATAATTTACACAACATGGAACTTATCTGTTTTAAGTGAGTATCAAAATGATTTTGATAATTGCATCTCCAGATGTGTACAGCCACCTTCATAACCAGTTTTAGACTGTTCAGAACATATCAGCTCCTGCAGAGATCTCCTGTACTCTTTTTTAGTTCATCCTTGTTACCACCCTCAGCCTTCAGAAATCACTACTTTCTCTCTCAGATTTGCTTTTTCTGAAATATTCACACAAATGGAATGACACAAAGCATGGCGTTTTACACCTGGCATCTTTTATTTAGCATAATGTCTGTGGAGTTCATTTATGTTGTATCATCTAACAACACTTGTGTTTTAGTACTGAACAGTATACAATTGTATACATATGCCATATTTTGTTTGTCCATACAGCAAGCTAGTGAATATTTTAAACTGTTAAACCAATTTCTGCTGTAGCTGCACCATTTAATATGCACATTAGCAATGTCTAAGTGTTGAAACACAATCTTGCTAACACACTGTCAGCCTATTGTATTACCATTTTTAGTAAGTGTGAAGTAGTGTCCAAATGTGATTGGTAAAGAAATATTTACCAATCATATAATATGAAACTCATGACTTAGAAGCATTGCACTCAATGGCATTCAGTATATTCAAAATGTTGTGCATTCATGTCCTTTAAGTTTTGAAAATTTTAATACACCTCAATTAAAGTAATTTTTCCACATTCTACATTTCCCCTAATCCTTGACTCCCACCTATCTGCATTGTTTACCTATTCTGGATATTGCATATGATGTAATAATATGCATGACTATCTATCTGAAAGGCAGAGAGACAAAGGAAGAGTGAGGGTAGGTAGGAATGGAGATGAGGAGTGAATGACAAGGATGGAAAGGGGGAGAAGGGAAGAGGAAGATATTTTCTATATAATGGTTCACTCCTCAAATGTCTGCCAACATTCAGGGTTAGGCCAGGCCAAAGCTGCTATCCAGGAATCCCATTCTTTTCCATGAGTATCACAGGCTTAAGTATTTGGGCCACCATTTGCTGTTTCCCAAGTATATTAGCAGGGTGCTGAACTGAAGCCAGAAGCCAGAACTCAAGCAAGCACTTCAATATGGGATGCTGACATGGCCTTTGGTGGGTTAAGCCAGGAACTTCTTCCAGGTGTCTCTCCCACACGGGCACCGGGTCCCAAGTCTTTGGGCTATTCCTGACTGCTTTCCCAGGCCACCAGCAGGGAGTTGGATGGGAAGCAGGGCTGCTGGGATTAGAACTGGCACCCATATGGGATCCCACTATGTGGAAGGCTAGGATTTTATGCACTAGGCTACTGTGCCGAGTCCTATTAACTGGTTTTTGCTTTTTTCTGTTAGGTTAGACTTCCAAGTTTTGTTCCATGTATCACAATATTTTCTTGTGGTGAACTGGACATATTTGATGATATATTTTAGCAACTCTGGATTGTATTACCCCCAGATTTTGTTATTGACTTCCTGGACCAACTCTGTATAGTTTATCTCTAAGTATAATATCTTTCAGTGTGAGGCTATTTGGGTTCTTGCTATATGTTTTTCTACATTTTAATTTCGTTGAATGGGTGGTAGCTCTTTTTTGAACAAATGCTTCTCAATTTAGCAAATCCTAAAGCCATTTTTTCATAATCCTGAAATAGATGTTTCCCTGAGCAGTTTTATAGTTGCTTTGAGGTTAGAGGATTTACTGAGTTCTTCACTCTGCTACTCCAGAAATCAAGATATTTAATTTTCCAAAACAACATATTAACTTTGAAATTATAATTGTTTTTTTCTGATAGCAGAAAATCACTACTTTCTCCCAGAAAGTGAATTCCAGCTAAACGTATATTTTTTTAAGTCAAACACTGAGGTAAAACAAAAGCAAACATAAAGAAAACCTCATAGATCAAATAAATCAATTCAGACCAATGATTTTAAAAATAAAAATAAAGCTATAAAATGTGTTAAAAAAATAGCTATAAAAGGTATTACTGGTGCTATTAGTGAAAATGGTCCCGATATTACTTCGTAAGTTTCATGTAATTTTAGGTAAGTTTCTCAATTTTCTAAATTTTAGCTTCCTCTTTTAAAAAACAGATAGTGCTAGTTTTATGCAGTTATTCTGAGCACTGTATGAAATAACACAAGTAGGATATAAGAGCATTTAAGTGTTTTCTTATATTATTTCCTTTGTCAACATATTTTGTTTTACCTAAAAAAGTAGAAAAAAATCAAGACAACATAGTAAAATTATAAAGCTCTCTTCTGAGTATGAAAATTAAAAAGACTACATGAAACTATAGAGTTTTTAACAGATTTTGCTTAACCTTTAAGAAATAACCATTTCAAAACTTAGGATAATCCTTAACTACTTGAAGTGCTTTAAAAATGAAATATTTTTAACTTATTTAAAAGGCAGAGAGTCAGGGACAGAGATCTGTAACAGCTGGCTTATTTCCGAATGCCTGTAATGGGGCTGGACAACACTGAAGCTAGGAACCCAGAACTCACTCCAGGTCTCCCATATAGGTGGGAGGAACTCAATTCCTTGAGCCACCAACTGCTGTCTCCAAGAGTGCACGTTAGCAGAAAATTGCAATTGTGAGTGGAGCACAGAGTTGAAACTAGACGCTGATTGGATGGTTGGAGGGAATGAAGGCATCCTAAGAAGCGGTTTAACAGCTGTGCTAACCTCCTGCCCCCTTCCTTTCAACCAATCTAAATTTTACTGGCTTTGGTGAATATATAACCCTGTTCTCTCAGATAAATCAACCAACTATATTTCAGCAAGCTGCCTTCTACCTAGAAAGCCGAAAAACTTGTATGTGCAATACTTTTAAGCAAAAATTAAGTGGCAAGAAACATACTGAGAGTTTATTCACACAAATGTGTAGTACAATGGTAATACTCTAAGGCAATGAGAGATACTCATAGTGCCAAAAATTGAGCAGTGATAAATGACACAGGCATTTTTATATAACCCAGATATTTCACCGAGAGTATGTATCCTAATAAATCTGTAAAAGATATTAGACATATTATTAAAAATTGCTCAAAATAAGCTTAAAGAAAAATAAATAGAGGATGAACTGAGTTACCATTATTTAAAATTTTACTTAAAGAATTTTATTGATAAAAGCATCACTTTTTATGACTTTTATAAAATGAAAATGAAAGCAAGGAATCAAACAATAATTCAGAATATCCCTATATTTTCAAATTTTATGAACACTCCTATGGACATATATTTAAGTGGTTATATAAATCTGCAAAAACAGACATTATCGGAAATTTTTCTTAGGTCTATTTCCTATTTTTGGTTTTTCTTTCAATAAACATGAGTGACTTTTACAACAAGAGAAATATCATATAAAATGTTATTTTTATTATAGAAATTAGATTTAGTATTCAGTTGAACTCTAATGTTAAATAGAACTTGACTTCCCAACTAATCCAGTTCCAAGGCTAGGAAGATGCTTTTAACAGATGTATTTCGATCTGTAAAACTCTTCGAGGAACAGTGTTTTACTGTGATGATTATTTTAAAATGGGACATGTTATTGCTTAGAAGGAAATATAATTTAGATGTTGGAAACTTCAACTATATAATAAAAAATTTACCGAATAATTTGTCCTTCCTCTTCTGGAGTAGCTGGTCTTAAACCAAGAACTATGTGACAAACCTAGGGAACAAAATGGTAAATCAAATTTTATTGACTAGAGTCAACTTCTAGACTGCATATTTCATATTCTCCTGATGATATCTCTTTAGGAGTAAATACCTCTTTATTTAAAAGGCATACTGAGAGAGACCCAGAGAAAAAGCAATTGAGACAGAGATAGAGAGAGATCTTCAGTTTTCTGCTTCATGCTCTAGGTGGCTGCAACTGCCAGGGCTGGGCCAGGCTGAAGCCAGGATCCAGGAGCTCCATCCTGGTCTCCCACTTGAATGACAGGAAACCCAAATGCTTGAGCCACGTGGTTCTATTTTCCCAGGGATATTTGCAGGAAGCTTGATCACAAGGTTAGTAGTCAAGACTTGAACAAGTGCACAGTGGGATCCCTGCCTCACCTGCCGAGGCTTAATGCTGGCCCCGGGTTAAGCCCCTATTTGCCAGGCTGTTATCCCACACTGGAAGCACTGGTTTGAGTACCTGTTGCTCCACTTTGAATACCAATACCTAACACCAATTTTTAAAATGATTGTACCAATTTATGCCCTCATCAGCAATGTATGAGAGTTCTACTTGCATATTGTCAACTGATGGATATAAGCAGATGCTACAAGGCTTATCAGATCAGCTGTCAGGAAGAGACCAATCTCTAGTCTAACACAGCTGTACTGCAAACTGTTCTTCATCTAAAATGGAAGATCATGATTGATAAAAATGAGAAAACATACACTATTTCCAAAAATCACAACAAAAAAATTCCTGATCCAATTAGAAAAATAAAGGTTGGTAGGCTTGATATTCATTCCTGGTAACTTTTTCTTCTTTCTGAATCTTTTTTGGATCTTCTAAAGAATAAAACTTAAATAAATAAAACTTGCAGCTAAGATAGTATTGTAATGCTCTGAGAAGCTTATAAGCACCTACTTCTTTTCTATTTTTCTATTCATAATTGCCTTACTTAAGAGGAAAGGCTTTTGAAAAAGATAACAAGAAGAAAAATAACAATTATAATGGCTCTTGAAATTTAAATTATTCTCCATAAGCTTATACGTTTCTTTATATTAGTTATATGAGGTTAATATTCTACATTCTGTCTTCCTACTTTCTTTGTTACAACTCTAACAAGCTTTAACAGAAGCTCAGACTCTATCTTACCGTCTCTCAGACCGGGTACAGGATAATACAGATGTTCTGGTTTTTTCATTTGTTTGTTTTATAATCTATGGTTTGGCACTACAGGTATGATACTCTAGCTAGTATATGAGAAAAAAGACATGGAATCACTGATAGTACTACCCTCTGTATCTATCATTTACCTTAAACATACCTGGAAAAGGAGATTCAAAAATTCATTGGCAAGAACATTTTTCACACTCCAGATCTGATAGTCTTCCAGAGTAAGATGGCCCATCTAAAAGACATTAAAAAATACTTTGTATTCCAAGTTTTTTCATGTTTTAAGAGTATATAAATAAAACTTGATATACTAAGCTTCTTGGCCATGTTTCTAAAAGCACACCAGTAGGTTCTAGCAGATGCTACGTGTTCACCTGAAAAGTAGGCCAGATAGTACAAGGGGTATACATAAAGGCATGGAAAATATATAGTATGAAATAACTATCCATGCACTTTACAATGAAATAAAAGCCACACATTTCAACCCAAAGTACATGTCATTTTTAGAAAAAGATACAATAGTCTTTGCTGGACTTACCTTTGTGGTGTCATGTGCATTCAATATGCCTTCTACAATGTCAGAGAGATCCATATGTAACTCCTTTAAAAACAGTACCCCAAAGGAGTAATTAGAAAAGAGTAGCTAGTTTTACTTTATTATTCTGATGGCAAAGTATAAACTGCTGAAATTTTAAAAAAAATTTTTTAAATTATAACACAAATTCTAATATCTGCTTTAAAAATTGAGATGATTTTCCTGTTAATACTTGCTTCTTGGTTTAAGTTTGGCTTACTAAAGTTTAAAGTTCAACTCTTCCCAATTTTGCATTTTTTAAATTTATCTGAAAACCAGAGTGACAGATCTTACATTTGCTGGTTCTCTTCCCAAATACCTGTATAAGTCAGGAACGTAATCTGGATCTGCCCTACATGAGTGGTAAGAGGAGCCAGGACTTGAAGTAGGCATTCCAATGAGGTGCAAGCAACTCAAATGGGTGGACTTAACCATCATACCAAATGCTGACTCCCTCTCTTTTTCTGCCCTAACTCATTCCATTTTACGTTGGAAGTTTATGTGCAACAAGATACATACAATCAGAACTTACAGGGATATCATCGGTGCGGTTGTCCTTCCAGACTTCTAAAAGTGCAACCACCATGTCTCTGAGTTCAATTCTGGAGAGCACTCCATCACGATCAACATCAAACACCTTGAAGCAAACTAACAAAAAGAAACTCTTATGGAGGAAAGGCATCCTTATACCCTAAAGTGTAAGACATTTTATTAGAAAGTGACCTTGTTAACTACATAGTTTTTCAAACAAGTATATTCTGGAGTAGCTCTCTGGAGCAGGTTATATTAAATAATTACAGTCCTTGGAACTTGCAGGACTCTTTGCATATTTCATGAATTGAATCCTCTGAAACATTACCCAGCTCAAGGAGTTCTATCTTCCAGCAAAATCTACAGCTAAATTCCTTACAAACCAAAAGGAAAGGGGGTAAAATCACTCTATAATAAACACCAAAACACATTACTGTTTTTGAGGTGTAAGCATTCTAATTTGGTTTGGAATATTAAAAATGAGTTGTTGTAAAGCTCTTTCTTGTAAAATAGAAATATTCCATATAGAATAAGTTACAAAAAGCTGGTGTATTTCCTACTTTACTTCTGCAATGTCACAATGTATATGTACATTCAAATTTGCAAAGAGCAAGTTCAGTTCTTTAAAGCATTCTTTAACAGGCTAAAAATGAAATAATCAGCAATTTATCAACTCCAAATGATTCTCTATAACTTATTAACCTTTACTGTAAAAATTAAAAAGTTTTTCAATTTGAAAGGTAATAATCTTAATTGAGAAGCATATTTTGTTACTCCTATTTAACATTACATTTAAATGAGAAAAAATCATCTACCATAAACTAACAGCATATAAACAGAATAGAAAGTAATTCATAATTTAAGATTGAAAACTCATTTTATAGAATAATTATGGCATTAAATCAAGTTAGCACAACAATATAATATTATTAACTAAGGTAAAAATATCAAGAAGGGTCTATTTTTTAGAAACACACAAATATAATGATCCTAGTAAAAATATTTGAGTTAAGTCCTAATTAAATGTAAACTGTTGCATTGTCTCAATCATGGATAAAATTTAATAATGCAATGTTTCTTATGTTTCTAAATTAAGCTGTAACAACATCTTAACTACAATAAAAAGAGCATTTTAGCATTTAATATAATTGAATTTAGATCATAAATTCCATAGTGTCAATAAAATATTAATGTGTACAAGTGAAAGAAATTAAGTTGTACTTGAAATTATATAAGACACAAAATCTCTAAATAGACTACTAGAAAATATTTCCTAAATGGTTAAAACTATTTTAAACAGCTCATGGCTGATTGGTCCATTTGTCATTAATTGCAAATTATTCAGGAAAATCAACCCCAGTGTTAATAGCAAAGATTGAAAACGATTCCATAGTACTAAAAAAAGAAAGAAAGAAATATCACTCATCCTTTAAAGGGACCTCAATAAAATATCAATGTGAATATGATATTTGTCAATCTCACAGTTATAAAATTCAAACTGTGTCCACAGATGAATTTACATGGATTCAAGCTGATTTTCCATCTATACTTTCTGTGACAATGTTTAACACACTTACATTTTTGTCTTTCAGCAAGGGGCCCCCTGCAACAGGCTGACAACCCACAAGATATCTCTTTAAAATCTATGTGATTGTCACGATTTTCATCGAAAGCATTAAATAAGCCTATAAAATAGGAAAAGAAAATTAATCACACCAACATATTTTCTAACATGATATGTTTGCAAAAGAAGAAGGAAACCTTTGCATAAACTAGTTGAGTTTCAAAGGTAGGAAGGAAGGAAGAAAAAGAATTATTAGTTCCCAATAGTTGAGAGAATATTTTTTTCCTCTGTTGGTAGACTGAAATGTGATCCTAGCAGAAAATGTGACTATTTGGTTATATCTGCATGGATCTTTCTTACAGCAATACTTACAGCTAAAAATGTCCATATTTCAAAAGTTAACAAATAAAAAGAACCAGAAAATAATCAGAAAGTGCAATGACTATCTTTAAAAGACACTTAGGTGAAAAAGAAAAAGTAAAGTTGAACTGCTTATGAAATACTCAAAGATAAACCATAGTATAATTAATAAGATCCACCAAAGCTCTTTCATGAAGTGAAGAAAAAAAGCAGAGAAGGATTTTTATTACAGCATGCATTCTAGACTATTTAATTTTTATGCATGGATATTTGAAATTTCAAAACTCAAAGAGAATTTAATCCTGTGATTTTTCAAACATTTTCGAGAAACAAATTAAATAATTGTGTTTTCAGATGAAATGGGATATTAGTCTCCAATTCTAAAAAGATAAAAATTACACTGTTGATGCAAACTGAAATCCAGAGCCCCTCCATTTCTGGATCCCCTAACAGGTACTTCTAACTAACTTAGGAATCTGAAGAATACAGATCATACAATCCCTGAATCCAATTCAGAGTTCTATCTCAAGATTAGAAAACTGAAACTTCAAAAAGAAGTAACAGGCTAGTGTGATGGCACAGCGGGCTTATGATGATGGCTCCTCTCATCAGAACACAGATGTGAATTGTAGCTACTCTACCACTGATCCAGGCTCCTGCTGCTGTGCTTGAGAAGGCATCCCAAGTGCCTATGCTCCTGCTAACTACATCCTGGGAGACCAGGGTGGAGTTTCTGGCTGCAGCCTGGCGCAGCGTGAATGTTGTGACCATCTGAGGAGTGAACCAGTAAAAAATATTTCTCTGTCTCTTCCTCTCTGACCATTTCTCTTACAAATAAATACATAAATCTCAAAACAAAACAAAAAGGGTGGGAGTGGGAAATGAATTTGGGACCTGCATCACCAGCATGCTGTATGGTCATCAGTTTGTGTCAGCTGCTCAACTTCCCATCCAGCTCCCCGGGGAAGTTATTTTTATGATGCCACTCACAATTACTCTTAGGTTTTAAAAAAAAGTATCTGCAATAAGTTTAGAGCTAGAGGGAATAGTCTTCTGTAGAAATTTAACTTTTTTTTCACCGTGGGGAGAGATACAGCCGTGGCATCTTCTATGAAAGAAAACAAGTAGTGGCATGCTAGCTGAGAAAGAGATGTGGAAATGTGGAACTCTGCACATTCAGTAGCTACCACCACTATTCCTACACCATCTGCTATGGTACTTTAGAAGAGCACAATTTCAGAGCTAGTGCAGTGTCACAGCACGCTAATCTTCTGCCTATGGAACCGTCATCCCATATGGGCATTAGCTTTAGTGCTGGGTGCTTCACTTCTGATTCGGCTCCCTGCTAATGGCCTAGGAAAGCAGTGGAGGATGCACTTGGCTCCCAGTTTTGGACCAGCCCAGTTCTGATTGTAACAGCTGTTTGGAGAGTAAACCAGTGGATTGAAGACCTTTCTTATCTCTGTAGCTCTATCAAGTAAAATAAAATATTTAAAATAAAAGAGCACAATTTGATAAACCCTAATTTGGTCAAATCCACTTATATATAAGGATATTCAGGTGTAGAGAGTTAGAGTGACGCATAAAAAATTTTCAGGTAGGATATGAAGCTAAAAATTATCATCTTAATTTCCATTTTTATTTTTTACCCCACTATACTATTTGTAAGAAACCTAAATCTTTAAGAAAATAGCATGTTACGAGTTAAAATGGCTGGCTACAAAGAAGGGTTCAGGTGTTTACTAATGAATATTTGTAGAAAATGTTTGAGTCCTACCTTCACTTAGAGATGGACGAATAGGTGGTGAAACCAATGGGCCAAATGTCTCTAAATCAAATCTTCCAGTCCGGGATTGAGCCTTTAGCAACCAATAACGTTTCTCAAGATCAATGATGTCTGATTCTTCCACTGAGAGTCAAAATAAGCAAACTTAGTTACAAACCTCAGATTTCTCTTCTGGTAATTTGCTTATACTGTTATTGTATTTTCCAAGGATATAATTTTCCATTTCAATTACTAAAACAGATCATGATCAAACAAAAAATCTGAAAAACAAATCTACCATATGTAAACTAGTAGAACAATGAAATAAAAATGAATAAAACCCAAGATGCTTTAAAACAGATCTGCATTACTAGGCTGCTGAAGTCTATCATGTAAAGTAATGTACGACTGAATGATTTCTTCTGGACTTCCAATATAACTTCTGCCTACCCATTTTTGTTTGCATTCAGTCTTCATCTTGGATTTAAAGTTTCTATGTACATTTCCTCTCCTGGCCAGATCATTTATACAGGACACATAGCAGGATACACACCCGAGTAATCTTATCAATACGTTGCAGCATTTACACATTCAATACTTAACAATTAAATGGAAAAAATATGGTAAAGAATGTTATAAGTCAATAAATGGCAGAAGAGTTGGGAGTGGAATTTACTATGTGGACAGGTAACTCAATATAAATCAAGAATTACACTTTACCACAACTACTGCTACCATTCTAAAACAATCATTAGCATTATAATTTTTATTTTGCAAGTATAAAAATTGTGTTACTACTTGTAGCTTAATCTTCAAATTTGTATTATTTGTTGATTTACATATACTAGTAATACATTTCATTACATGAAAAGAGAAAAATGAAAAGTAAAAAGTGTAATTTGCAGGTTTTCACATAACTGTAATCATAGCAGTACTTCTACTTAACTTGCTATAATCCAGGTTGTTCGGGAAGTTTATTTCCAATGTTTTTATTCCATAATTGATACCATCATGTGAGCTCTCAAATTATACAAAATCCTATTTCATAACTTTGCATAATCAATAGGGTAAGTTCATATTTTAATTTTGCCAAAACATCATTCAGAAAGAATACTAAATTTTTCATAGAGGAATACACAACAAAACATGTAGCTTTTCTTTTTTTAGCCAAACAACCAAACTACATTCTTACCTCCTGATAAGTGAAAATTTTTGCAAAGGCCCAATTACTTTGAAATAGTAACTAATCTTTATTTTATTATTCAAAACTTTAAAATAACTAAAATTTCTACTTAAACTGTATCTATTCAATTCATACTCAAGTATTTGTTACATGTGTGCTAAAGTTCACTATATTATCATTGATATCCACATATGAATAAATTGCTGGGAAGAGAGAGTTCAACTAACTTTATTTTCTCTTACCGAAGTTAGAGCAGGTAATTTCAGCAGTTACTATTTCTAATTACAATCTATATATCAATATCAAATCTTCTAACTATTGGCTAAATAAGAACGACTTTATCACCCACCTATATGTACAATTTTTTCTGGGTCACAAAATTGACATATCATACTCTCAACATTCTGCACAGCTCCTGGCCTGTGCTTTGGGCCAAATCAAATTTCATCTCACCAAAGGCTCCAGCTTCCAGATTAGTTCTTTTGCATCAGAAATGGCTCCTCATCAAAAACAGTCAGGCACAACACTCAAAGTGTTATCATACAGTAACACAAGCTGTTAACATGTCTTCAGATAGCAACCTGCTCTCAGGAACAATGACCTGACTTGGACTCAAAATGGCGATAAGCCTTAAGTCACTACTAATAGATAAGAGGATAATGCAGGAAGACATGCAGATTTACTCTGCAGTTTACAGTCTAAGAATCACTGAAGTATTTTTTCTTACTGAGAGACTTTAACATTGTAAACTGAAATGTCATAGGAAACATAGCTATATGTACTTATATATGTATATTCTTACTTGAGACAAATGCTAAAACAAATAGGGACAGTAAAAATTTATTTAATATGAAAAGAGAATAACCAAGTGAATTACATGGTTCTAAAATTTACCCAAAATATGACATGTATTCTTTCAAAATTCCAATTCTACTATCCAAAGAAATCATTGAGTTATCAGATTTACTTGCTCTTATAGTACACTGAAGGGAAACTTGACAAACTCTTTCTCAATTTATTTCAAAACATATTTATAACAAAAGCAAGCACATCTATTTTCTTCCAAAAACAGCTGAATTCTACAAAAGACTATGATCAGCATTTAGGAAAATAAATATCAACAATAGTTCTTTAAAAAATTCCAAGACTTCTACTACCCACGTGGGTGCAGGATCCCAAGGTTTTGGGCCGTCCTCGACTGCTTTCCCAGGCCACAAGCAGGGAGCTGGATGGGAAGTGGGGCTGCCGGGATTAGAACCGGCGCCCATATGGGATGCTGGCATGTGCCAGGCAAGGATTTTAGCCACTACGCTATCGCACTGGGCCCAAGACATCAATTTTGAATTTTTTAGCCAAAAGTAGAATGAGAATTTATAGGCAATACAAATCATAGTCATAGTAATGTAAGGTGACCTCTGTTGAATTTCTTTAAGAAAATTAACAGTAACTCTGACTCTGTAATAATGCTTTCATAGTAAGACCCACTGAAAAAGTAGCCTCTTGACCAAGGCTAATAACTGTTTAGTTGTCTACTGAACTAGCTTACTGTTGATTCCTTATTACTCTAAACTGTAAAATAAAAGCAATCAAATGCTAGGAAAAACACTTTATTCCCACACATTTACTCATCTATTATCCTCTATTAGAAAATGCCTTGATCCTTGGGGACTGTGTTGTACAGTGGGTTGAGCCACTACTTTGCAATAAAGGCATGCATGTCAGAGTGCTGATTAAGTGCCAGCTGTTCTAATTCCCACCTAGCTCCCTGCTAACGCTCATAGTGATGGATACAAGGGCTTGGGCTTATGTCACACATGTGAGGGACAAAGATAAGAAAACAGGCGTGGGTCCCCAATTCCTGGAAGTTGCTACCCTTTCCTAGAAAATAAGATCATTTTCTACCCAAATATTAACACATTTGTCAGGCCCCATAAAGGAACACAATAGGGTTGCTCTGTTTTCACAGAAGCCTGCTGTTCGCCATTTTAATAAAGCCCTCTGGTTTTCAGTTTGTTGCCTTAAGTCTGAAGCCTCCTCAAAGAACACTTCTCAGCCTGTGGTAGCCAAAAAAGAGTTTCTAACTGTCTGGTGTCAATATTATTTAACTAATTACCTCCAAATATCTAACCATGCAAGCTTCAGTACCCCTGCCGAATTTTTATTTGAATTTTTATTTGAAAGGCAGATTTACAGAGAGACACACACACAGAATCTTTTACCACTGGTTCACTCCTCAATTATTTGTAACAGCTGGAGCTGAGACAATCTGAAGCCAGGAGCCAAGCGATTCTTCTCACACATGTGTGTAAGAGGCCAAGGATCTGAGTCATCCTCTGCTGTTCTCCTGGGTCATGAGCAGGGAACTTATGGATTAGAAATGGAACGGCTGGGGCTAGAACCAGGGTTCATATGGGATGCTGGTACTATGGGCAGAGGAGTAGCCTGTTGTGTCACCACATTGATCTTGCTTCCTTAAATATTTAAAAATCACAACTAATTTCTCACCTAAAAATATAGTATGTCTGAACAGTCACATACACCAAGGTTGTTAAACCTACTCAAACATGATGATTTATCTTGGTCCTTTCTCCATGATAGTTTCAGTTCTGTATCTCCAAAACAATTATCCTCCCTACTCTTGAATACAGTCAGTATTTAAAAATCATGACTACTGGCTGAAATTTCTCAACCCAGTTCAATGCAGTATCATGCATTTACTCCAGTATCATAGGAAAAACTTCCTTATACTCAAAGGCCTGCAGCTACTATGGAGAAATAGTCATTTCCAACTGCCTCTAATGTAAGACATAAAACAATCTACTGCTTCAATTAAAACATGAATTTCCTACAGATATGTACTTAATTCAAATTTAAAAATACAGAGATCAGATGCCAGAAGAGGCTGAGAATGAGCTGGGCTTTGGTAACAAGAAGCATTTAAAGAGGTGGGAGTGTGGTATAGCAGTTAAGATGATACTTGGGTCACCCACATGACTTTTCGAAATACGTGGGTTCAAGTTCGGATCTTCATTAACTCCAGCTTACTGCTAATGTTTAGTGTGGAAGGCAGGCAGTGACAACTATGGCAGTCAGGTCCCTGAACTCACATGTGAACTACTGAGTGCTGGCTCCGGGCCTGGGCGTGACCCAGCCATGCTAATGCGAGCATGCAAGGTGTGAAGCAGAGGAAAGGTGCAACGTCTGTCTGTCTCTCCGCACTTTTCAAATAAGTAAAAAAGTATTATTTTTAAAATATGAAGTACTGACGCTGGCATCCCAGATCACAATGCCCATTTGAGTTCCAAATATGCTTCTTCAGATCCAGCATGAGGAGGTCTTCAAAAAGCATTCATTTAAGATACCACCTCACAGACAGCTGCTTAACCTACTATGCTACAACGCTGGCCTCCCTGGGGACTTTCTGAGGTATTCTGTAGAATGAAAATGGGGGAGGGCCCAGAGCCATAACCTAGTGGCTAAATCCTTGCCTTGAAATCACCAGATCCCATATGGGCACCAGTTCAGTTCCCTGCTTGTGGCCTGGGAAAACAGCAAAGGATGACCCAAAGGCTTGAGATCCTATACCTATGTGGGACACCTGTAAGAAACTATTGGCTTCTGGCTTCAGACTGGGGCAGCTGCAGCCGTTGCAGCCACTTGGGGAGTAAATCATCAGACAGATGACAAATCATCTACCTCTCTGTATATCTGACTTTCCAATACAAATAAATAAATCTTAAAATAAATTTAAAAGGGCATCATACAATATCATATAAGCATTTAAGAGATGCAGAAAGGCAGGATTAAGATTTATCATAAGCAAAAGCAGCATGTAGCAAGAAATACTGTGGAAGGTAACGCTCTGGCCTGGTCATGGTTCTGAATCCTGTCACTTCAAAATTGTCATCACCTGATCTCACTTGGGTGCAGGGTCTTTGCAGATCTAAAGCGGTAAGGGTCTTGAGGTGAAATACTCAAAGGAAAGGTCATCTGAATAGGAAAAAACAGAATGGATTTGTCCTGCCCTGCCTAGGAATTCTTGGGGTCAGCAAATACAACAGGGGGAACACAGAACTGTTAACACTTTCATTTGCATGGCTCAAACTTTGAGGCATGAAGTTTCTCCTATTTCAGATTATGCCTTGTAGCAATATGTATCAGCAGCCCTAGGAAACTAATCTGGGCAGGGTAGGAACAAACTGCAGGAGAGAGATATTTCCCATGCCCCAGGATTTCACTTCATCATACTTTGGAAGAAAAACATACTAAAAAATTGATAAGCAAATCCCCCATTTAACTCCCAAGCAATTATATTTAAAGATGAGCAGGAAAAAAAATGTCATGCCATTACTTACAATGTGTGACTCCAGCCAAAGTTTGGTAGAAAGTAGGAGTGTCACTATCATCTGTGAGGGTGACATACACACCTCCGGACAGCAGCCAACGGGAGAAGGTAAAAGCATCTTTGTTTAGAAGCAGCCAATTTCTAAACTTTTCATAATTTACCTTTTCACCCTAAAATTAAAATAAGAAAACATGATTAGTCACATATAAAAGTAGATGTACGGGCCCGGCGCGGTGGCACAGTGGTTAAGGTCCTCGCCTTTGCACGCCCAGGATCCCATATGGGCGCCGGTTCTAATCCCGGCAGCCCCACTTCCCTTCCAGCTCCCTGCCTGTGGCCTGGGAAAGCAGTCGAGGACGGCCCAAAGCTTTGGGAACCTGCACCCAGGTGGGAGACCCGGAACAGGCTCCTGGCTTCGGATCGGCATAGTATCGGCCCGTTGCGCTCACTTGGGGAGTGAATCATCGGACGGAAGATCTTCCTCTCTGTCTCTCCTCTCTGTACATCCGCCTTTCCAATAAAAAAATAATAAAAATAAATCTTAAAAAAAAAAAAGTAGATGTACAACCTGAAATTTGCTGTTTAAAATTGCAGGATATATATAATTCGAAAATTAAGCTGGTTTTAAAAATAATTCTTGGGCTTGTGCTGTTGTTACAGCGAGTTAAGCCATATATGCTAATTCGAGTTCCAGCTGCACCACTTCTGATCCAGCTCCCTAATGCACTTGGGAAGGCAGCAAGGATGACTCAAATGTATAGACAAGACCCACGTGGGAGACCCACAAGAAGCTCCACTCTTGGCTTCAGTCTGGCTTAGTCATGTCTGTCGCAGCCATCTGGGGAGTGAACCAGCAGAAAGAAGTTATGTCTTGCTGTCTCTCTCTAACTGCCTTTCTAATAAATCTTGAAGAAATTGGGTTTAAAGCTCCATTTGCATAAAACATGCATACACTAACTGAAAACTATTCATCAATACATTAACATCATCTGCTGATTATAAGAAGTGACATTTTGGGGTCCGTGTTGTGGCACACCAGGTTAAGCTGCAGCCTGTGATGTCAGCATTCCATTTGGGTGCTGTTTGGACTCCAAACAGTCCAATTTCAATCGAACCCACTGCTAATGACTCAGACACAGCAGCAGAAGATGGCCCCAAAATTTGGGTCCCTGACCACATGGAAGAACCAGGTGCAGATCATGGCCCCTGGCTTTGGCCTAGATCAGTCTTGATCATTACAGCACTTGGGGAGTGAATCAAAGAATAGAAAATTCTCTGTCACTATTTCAAGTAAGGAAATATGTAAATCTTAAAAAGAAAAAAAAAACCCAAAAAATACTATCAGCCAACAGGGACAGATCATTCTTATTTAAGAACAACCATTTCTGTAGGCCCAGAGCGGTTCAAGCTCTTGTCTTGCAAGTGCCAGGATTCCAAATGGGTGTCATTTTGTATCCTGGCTGCTCTGCTTCCCATCCAGCTCCCTACTGTGGCCTGGGAATTCCCAAAGCCTTGGGACCCTACACCTGAGTCAGAGACTCAGAAGCAGCTCGTGGCTCCTGCCTTCAGGTCTGCTCAGCTCAAGCCACTGGGGCCATTTGACGAGTGAACCAAAGGCTGGAAGATCTTTCTGCCTTTCCTTCTCTCTGCAAATCTGACTTTCCCACAAAAAAAAAAAAAAAAAAAAAGGTCATTTAAAATTTAAACTACAATAAAGTAAGACATCACTCAGAAATAATACGTAAAGATATCAAATGGTTGAATCAGGTAACATTAGCCCATTTATAATGTTGAATCTTACTGTTCGTTTTTGTTTTGTTTTTACTAACTGTAGTGATGTAGTCAGCTAGCTCAACTTGGAAGCCACTCCTTCTCACCAGACAGGTGTTCCCTCCTGCCCACCTGTGACTCACCTATCATCTGAGAGGGTAGTATTGCATTGTTGTGTAATCACTCCCCTCACTAGCCCTGAAAAAGGCTCCTGACAGGTAGGGGCTCACTCTCTTGGTCATATGCTCCTTTGCTCTGGCACTCCAACTCTTGGCTTCCCCATTACCTCTGACAACTGTTATCTTTTGAGAATGATGTGTGTGTGTGTGTGTGTGTGTGTGTGTGTGTGTGTATTCCTCACCCTCTGCTTACTGCTTGGGTGGGACAATGAAGATAGCAATGCTAAGATGCTCTGAAATTCTAATTTATGTACCATCATGAATTCCAGGAGAGGTGAGGCTTAGTAATAGTGGAATGTGGGCAGAGAAACCAGGGAGGGGTCAATGTCTGTACCTTTGTAAGTTGCAAGTCTCTTAGGATAATTTATATTGTTTGGGGAAGCTGGGACATGGGCCTTTAGCTTAATGGATGGAATTCACGGCAATTACCATTTGTTCCACTTGGAACAAATGATTGGATTGATTGGATTGCCACATGGACTTGTTATTTGTTACTTCTAGTGGGCCCTGTTATCACCAAGTTTGGTTATAAAGACTCCTTAATAAACCTTAGACATGTCTGGTGTGATCTCGCTTGCACCCTGTAATACAACTACAGGTATCTACCAATTCTAATAGCCATATATTTGAACCTTCTAAACCTATTTCTTTGATTTTGTTCCAAAGGGATTGTCATTAACAACATAAACTCATTTTTACACAAGGCCACTGTTTTCGATTAAGCTGCTTTACCAGGACCTAAAAGATCACACCAAAAATTAAAATAGAGTCAACCACAATGAAGTTTTAGGTCACAAGACTGAAACAACTGTTAAATGATCTTAGCAGAAATTAGAAGAGGGAGGGTATCAGATTTTGCAAACACTAGTTTGCAAGTAGCAGTATAACAAAGTTCTATCTGCTTTAGTTCTGAGATGCGAACCTGAAGTTTCCTGATGTCAGTTAACCGGGCACATTTCAACTGTTCCCACAATTCAAGCAAAAAAAGTAACTTTAAAATGACCAATGCAGTCTTGGTTTGTTTAGCTTCCCTCTGATAAAACCAATCTCTTCTGCTCAGCACAATGCAAAAATAAATCCAAGGAAAGTGTTCAAACTAGGGGCCGGTGCCATGGTCTAGTAGGCTAAGCTTTTCCTGAGGCACTGTCTCCACTTTTGATCTAGTTCCCTGCTTATAACTTGGGAAAACAGCAAAGGATCGCTCAAGTTCCTGGGTTTTCACACATATGTGGGACATCCAGAAGAAACTTGTAGCTCTTGCCTCCAGCTGTTATGGCCATGTGGGGTGTGAACCAAAGGAAGGAAGATTTCTCTTGCTCTGTAACTCTGCCTTTCAAATAAAAGTAAATATGTCTCTTTTTAAAAAAGATTTATTTTTATTATTTTTTTTTTATTGGAAAGGTGGATATACAGAGAGGAGAGACAGAGAGGAAGATCTTCTGTCCGATGATTCACTCCCCAAGTGAGCGCAACGGGCTGATGCTATGTTGATCCGAAGCCAGGAGCTTCTTCCGGGTCTCCCACGCGGGTGCAAGGCCCCAAGACTTTGGGCAGTCCTCGACTGCTTTCCCAGCCACAAACAGGGAGCTGGATGGGAAGTGGGGATGAGAATTAGAGGATTAGAGGATTAGAACTGTGGCCCATATGGGATCCTGGTTTGTGCAAGACAAGGACCTTCGCTACTAGGCTACCGTGCCAGACCCGAATTGTAAATCTTTAAACTTCACAAGACCTGCATCAAGATCCAGCTCCAGGTTATCATTGCTTCTCAAAACAAAAAGTCAACTTATTTGACTTAGCAGCATAGTTGGGAACAGCTGAGGTGTCCTTCCTTCTGGAACTACTTTTATCAGATATCTTCCAGGACACTACTCTCTGAATAATCTTATTACCTCACAGGTCATTCCTGTTTCCTATTTTGAATCCTCTTTGTTCATTAATCTGTAAATATTGGAGTAGAAGACTTATTCTCCCAATCATTTCTGGATGATCTCGATGCCTTATATATCCCATCCTCCCCTGCAAACCAATAAGTCTTTTCCCCAGAACAAGGATTTAATATCAAAAGACATATTTGAGAATTCCAGTCCAATGACTGATAGATCCTCCATTATAATTAAACTTTTCTTAATATCCAATCTCCCAAATTCCTTCCTCATTAATCTTGATGAACTTAGCTAATAGTGACTCTATAACTAAATCAGGCCTAACACTTCAATCACCCTTCCTGTGCTTCTTCTTTCAGCCCACTGTGTAACTATAATTCTACCAACTTCTAATTCAAAATGCATGAAGACTTTTAAAATGCCCATCACCTATACACCAGAGTACTCATGCACTTTAATTGGTCTCTGGAACACTGATTGTCCACGAAAAATGCAAAGTAATCATATTTAAGACGCAATAAAGTAAAAAGCATCTCATATGGTGGAATCCATTCACTGAAACCTCTGGTGGGTTCTGTCTCCACTCAAGGTAAAAGACAAAGGACTCACACTCTCCAACCACATAATCACTGTCCCACTCCACAAAAATCTCTTAAATTTCAGTTCCTATTATTTCCTTACTCACCCCATTCCAACTAAATTTACTTTTCAATTGTTCTTTGGACATCCTAACCACATTCCCACCTAAGAGTCTTTGTTATATTTGTTTCATAAAAACCGGTTCTCTCAAACATCTTCAGTTTTTTCTTGCAATTCCTGTAAACTCTGTTCAAATCTGACTTTGTCTGACATATATTATCCACTCATCCTATCTGAATAACAATACCTGGCTTTCTCTACACCTGATATCACCTATTCTCTTATTCCACATTATTTTTCCCCCAGCATGCTTTAACTTCTAATACACATGCCTGCTGCTGTGGCTACTTTATAGAAATCAGTGGACAAACATAATGAGAGGGTCTGCACAAACCTTACTGAAATGAAAAACTATGAACTCTCCCTGAAAAGAGGCAAGAAGTATTAATACATTAGACACCTTTGTAAATATCAAATTAATCAGGTCTTCAAATATTAGATTAACTTTTTACTGATTCACAAATCTTTATTACAGGAAGTAAATAAACCATAGGCCAGTTTGTTCTGAAGTAGTGAAATACTATCATAGTGGTTTCCAGTCAGTACTTATGTAGTAAAAAACACACTCTTGGGCCCAGCGCAGTGGCCTAGCAGCTAAAGTCCTCGCCTTGCATCCACCAGGATCCCATATGGGTGTCGGTTCTAATCCTGACAGCTCCACTTCCCATCCAGTTCTCTGTTTGTGGCCTGGGAAAGCAGTCGAGGATGGCCCAAAACCTTGAGACCCTGCACCCATTTGGGAGACCTGGAAGATGTTCCTGGCTCCTGGCTTTGGATCGGCACAGCACCGGCCCTTGCGTCACTCAGGGAGTGAATCATCAGAGGGAAGATCTTCCTTTTTGTCTCTCCTCCTCTCTGTATATCTGCCTTTCCAATAAAAATAATAAATCATTTTTTAAAAAAGCACACACTCTTGTATTCAATGTGTAGAAACGTTAAAAGAAATGCTAAAATCAAGAAAGGGAAATCACAAGATGTTGTCAGAACAAAAGAAACTTAAAGTCAGAGAGGTGTGAAGTTAAAGACAGACAACCCCACCCCAAGAGATATCAGAACCATATTTACCCATATGGATGAATACAGATAAGCAATGTCTATATAGTCAGGAAGGTGGAGCTCAACTCCCAATATAAAAAAAAACAGTGAAAACCTATCGTATTGGTGAAAGAAGTAAGCCCATGCCATGCTTAAGAAACTCAGTTAGGTGTTGGCACACTGGTGCAGTGGGTGAAACCACTGCATGTGACCCTGGTAACCTATATGGGTGTTAATACGTGTCACGCGGATTCCACTTCCAATCAGCTCCCCGGTTATGGCATAGGAAAAGCAGCAGAAGATGGACCAATGGGTCTCTGTCACTCACAAGGGAGACTTAGAAAAAGCTCTTGGCATCAGACTGGCCCAGTCCTGAACATTGTGGTCATGTGGAGAGCGAATATTAAGAAATAATCAGGCTGGAAAAAGTATATAATATATAGCTGTTCTGTTATTTTGGGTTGAATTGATCTCCCCAGAAGATATTCTGAAGTCCTAGCTTTTCAGTCAGGGTATGCTTGAAATATATGCAAATGATTAAAACATCAACCATTAAATATAAAATCGCTAAGAACAAGAAACACATAAACATCTACCTATTATAGTTAAATGTAAGACTCAATACTCTGCCAAACATTTTTTTAAGACAAAAACTAACGTTTAAAACAAAACAAAAAAAACCACTGTCAACAAGACGATATGAAATGTAGACTTTAAAAATACCTCTGCGAAACACTTCCTGAGCGTATCTGGGACTTTACCATCCACCACATGCAGCATTCTTTCCATTTCTTCTCGTACAACATAGCTCCCGGATTCACTTGAAAAAAGACTAAAAATGTCTAGGAGAAAACAAGACAACACAAATTAATCTCCGCACAGATGCAGGGAAAATATTTTTAAAAATGAGTGATTATTAGCGCCAGGACTTTATAAACATAATTTAAGTCACGCCTCAAAATAACCCAGTCAACAGCAAATGGTAGTATCTTTTCAAACACACCAGCCTAAAACAAAACAAACCCATATTAGGTGTGGTGAAGATTGGGAGGTAAAGAGTCTCTTCTATCAAGAGGATATCAAGAAATTTGTGCGGTAGTGGGTATTAGACCTGGCAGTTAATATCCCCGATTAGGATGCTCATATCCCATTGCCACTGTGCGTGGTTTTAAGCCCCACATGTGGCTCTGATCCCCAGTTCTGGCTTCGGATTCCAGATTCCTGTGGGAAGCAGCTGTAACAGCTCAAGCTCTGAGGGTCCTTGCCTGACAAGTATGAAACCTAGACTGAGTTCTATTCTCTTGGTTTTAGCCTCAGCAGCTGCAGGCATGTGAAGAGTTAACTGTGGCAGTACTACCTACCTCTATCTCTTTCTCTGCTTTTCAAATAACAACAACAAAACAGACACTGCTCAGAAAAGAAGCAAATTATAAAATGATCTGTATTTCATTTTATAAAAATACTAAAGCTTGCAAAACACCTGAAGGTATATTAAAGGGCATATAAACATATGCATAGCACAGAAATGAAAGATCACCATATTCATGAGTGTTAACCTCAGTGAAAGGAAGAACAGGATTGGGATAATGAACCAATACAAGAAGGGTCTGTTTCTTTTAGAAATAAAGATGGAGGACAAGCATAACACAGTTTTAAGAAACAGTAAAGTTGGGCCCGGCGCGGTGGCGCAAGTGGTTAAAGGTCCTCGCCTTGCACGCCCGGGATCCCATATGGGCGCCGGTTCTAATCCCGGCAGCCCCGCTTCCCTTCCAGCTCCCTGCTTGTGGCCTGGGAAGGCAGTCGAGGACGGCCCAAAGCTTTGGGAACCTGCTCCCGCGTGGGAGACCCGCAAGAGGCTCCTGGCTTCGGATCGGCCCGTTGCGCTCACTTGGGGAGTGAATCATCGGATGGAAGATCTTCCTCTCTGTCTCTCCTCTCTGTATATCCGCCTTTCCAATGAAAAAATAATAAAAATAAATCTTTAAAAAAAAAAAAAAGAAACAGTAAAGTTGGGTGGAAATACATATTACATGTATAATTAGAACAGAAGCATTCTTATTATGCGTTTAATTCATCTCCCCAGAAGATATGCTGACCTTCAGGTAGGGTGGTTGCTTAAAATCATTTCCATGAGGAAGTAATTCCATGATCACCACCTCATTTCACCTGAATACGACAGATGTTCAAGTCCCTTATATTCATTTAGAATGACACAGAAAAGGGAACTTCAAATATTCATGGACAAGTCAAATTAAAATTAAAGGATTAGCATTTGGCACAATACTTCAGTTGTCATTTGGAATGTGCACATCTTATACGAGAGGTGCTTGGTCTAAGTCTTGGCTTTGCTTCAGATTCCAGCCGCCTGTTAGTGCAACTCTGGGAGTTAGCCACTGATGTCTTGTAATTAAGTCCCTAACACCCACATGGGAGACACAGATTGAGATCCCGGCTTCAGCCTGTCCTAGCCTCAACTGTTACAGGTATTTTTTTTTTTAAATAGAGAAGATTATAGATCTCTGCCAGTCTGTCTGCTTTCCTAATGAATAATAAATAGAGCCGGCATGGTAGGCTAGCAGCTAAAGTCCTCGCCTTGAACATGCCAGGATTCAATACTGGCACTGGTTCAGTTCCCAGCTGCTCCACTTCCCATCCTGCTTGTGGCCTGGGAAAGCAGTCGAGGACGGCCCAAAGCCTTGTGACCCTGTACCCGTGTGGGAGACCCGGAAGAAGTTCCTGGTTCCTGGCTTCGGACTTGCATAGCATCGACTGTTGCGGTCACTCGGGGAGTGAATCATCGGACGGAAGATGTTCATCTCTGTCTCTCCTCCTCTCTGTATATCTGACTTTCCAATAAATAAATAAATCTTATAAAAAAAGAGCCTACTTTATACAAATACATTTTACTGTGTATCAATCATACTCCAATATAAGTGTGTATTTTTTGTTTATTCACTTATTTGAGAAGCAGAGTCACAAAGAGAGTGAACTACAGAGATCTTCCATTTCCTGGTTCACTCCTCATGACCACTATGGCCAGAGCCTGAACCACACTGGGTCTCCCACATGTGTGGCAAGGTTTCAAGTAATAGGGTGATCATCTATTGATTTCCTAGGCACTTCAGCAGGGAGTTGGATCAAAAATGCAATAGCAAGGACTTGAAATGGCACTCTGGTATGAGATGCTGCACTACAATGCTAACACCAAAACAATATCCTTGGAAAAAATATTAAAGACAGTCTAGATTCAGAAACAAGAAAAATTCCGATTAGAAGAAACTGTATAGGATAGAACTCAGTCTATTCAGACAGCTGGAACAAAATACAATGGCCATTTATCTTCTGCAATTATGAATGTCAAGAATTCCAAGATGAAGGAGCCAGTAAATCTGCAGTTAGCACCACAGCACAGCAGTCTAGGCATTTGCATACAGCACAGGCATGCACTGATCCAGCTCCCTGCTTTTGGCCTGGGAAAGTATTGGAAGATGGCTTAAGTTCTTGGGCGCCTGAAACTATGGAAGAGACTTAAAGAAAACCGTAGGTTCCAGGCTTTGGATTGGCTCAGTTCAATTATTGTGGCCATTTTGGCAGTGGACTAGTGGATGGAAAACCTCACTTGGTATCTCCTCTGTAAAATCTGCTTTTCAGGGTCCGGCGGCATGGCCGAGCAGCTAAAGTCCTCACCTTGAACGCATCGGGATCCCATATGGGCGCTGGTTCTAATCCCAGCATGGCTCCACTTTCCATCCAGCTCCCTGCTTGTGGCCTGGGAAAGCGTTGAGGATGACCCAAAGCCTTGGGACCCTGTACCTGCATGGGAGACCCGAAAGAAGTTCCTGGATCCTGGCTTCGGATCGGCATAACATCGGCCATTGAGGTCACTTGGGGAGTGAATCATCAAACAGAAGATCTTCCTCTCTATCTCTCCTCCTCTCTGTATAACTGACTTTGTAATAAAAATAAATAAATAAATCTTAAAAAAAAAACAACCCTGCTTTTCAAATAAAAAAACAAAACAAAACAAAAAAACAAAAAATACTGTAGGCTGCTGAAAGTCCATTTCCTGGATTATAGCCAGCCATCTTTTCAGTGTATCTCACTGTAAATCTATGCATTAAATTTTCTCGAGTACATAATTAGAAGTAGAATTACTGGGTCATGTAGTAACTTGGCTTAATCAATTTTAGAGTATTTAGTTGAATTTTATTTTTAAGGTAGAATTACACAAAAGAAATAAGACAGGTCTTTCATCTGTTGGTTCACTCAACAAATGGCTGTAACAGCTGGAGGTCAGCTGATCTGAAGCCAGGAGTTAGGAGCATACTCTGGGTCTCCCACATGGGTGTAGAGGCCCAAGCACTTGATGCATCCTCCTCTGCTTTCCCAAGCCACAAGCAAGGAACTGGATGGGCACTGGAACAGCCAGGACACAACTCAGTGCTGATATGGTGGGAGAGATACCTCTACGCCATGCTAATGGCCTGGTAACTTGATTTTTAACAGTTTAAGAACACTTAAATTGCTTTCTGAAATAGCAGCACTATTTTATACTTGCATCAGCAATGCATGGGACTATATTAACAAGCAACCACTTCTTTTTTTTTTAAGATTTATTATTATTATTATTTTTTTTATTGGAAAGGCTGATTTACAGAGAGGAGAGACAGAGAGGAAGGTCTTCCGTCCCATGATCAACTCCCCAAGTGAGCGCAACGGCCAGTGCTATGCTGATCCGAAGCCAGGAGCCTCTTGCGGGTCTCCCACGCGGGTGCAGGGTCCCAAAGCTTTGGGCCGTCCTCGACTGCTTTCCCAGGCCACAGGCAGGGAGCTGGAAGGGAAGTGGGGCTGCCGGGATAGAACCAGCGCCCATATGGGATCCCGGGTGTGCAAGGTGAGGACCTTAACCACTTGCGCCACCACGCCGGGCCCGAGTAACCACTTCTTAACATCTTTTTTATTTTAGCCAACATAGTGAGTATGCTATACTATTTTACTGTAGCTTTAATTTACACATGTTATTACTGTGTTGAGTACTCTTGAAGGATGCTTGAGTATCTTCCTGGGAGAAATGTCAGCTACAGTCCTTTGTTAAATTTTTGAGGTAAGTTACTCTGTACACAGATGTGATACTACCATTTGAGATAACTGAAAGTACTTACATTTTGCTTTCTCTTCATCTCTTCCTCTTGTAAGGAGAACAAGTCCAATTATTAAATTATTGAAGTGCAGCCCTTTAGATGTTCCACCAAAAGAACAGTAAATCACCTATAAGAAAATGATAAAAGCAACTTTAGGAGCTGTTTCATTGTTAAGGATATTAAGGTAAGTATGACTTTTAATAAATCTTGTCTTCATCTCCAAACAAAACCTTAGTAGCTTTTAGTGAAATGATACTTTAAGTGTTTCCCTCTTCTTCCTCTTTCGTACCTGGTTACTGAACAGTGAGTCAAGAATATACAGCCATTAACATTAAAATACCTGAATTGCAGGCTCAGATAAATTAATACGTAATATTTTTAAAAAAATATTGGAAAAGCAGAATGACAGTGAGAGAAAAAAATAGAAATCTTCCACCCACTTCTTCATTTCCCAAATACCCGCAACAATTGGGAATATGCCAGGCTAACGTCAGAACCCAGGAACGCCACTGAGGTCTCCCATGTAGGTGGCAGAAACCCAGCACTTGGGCTATCAATTACTGCTCCCAGGTGCTCTAGCAAGAAGCTGCATGTAGGTAAACTTGCTGGAACTCAAACAGGTACAATGCAGGAATCTCAATATGTGGCTTAACTGACTTAACCCTCTAAGCCACAATGCCCATGCCATGATTTTATATTCTTTCCTTTGGAGTCTTTACAAGGTGCAAAAGAATAAAGGTCTTCCTTTAATAGTTGCAATAATGTGATAAGAACAGCATATAATTACAGTACTTCCTTCAACCTCAGTAAAACACACATCATCTTAACAGAAAAGAAAGACACTATCTAACTGAATCTTCAGAAATACAGAGATGGGCCCGGCAGCTAAAGTCCTTGCCTTGCACGCGCCAGGAACCCATATGGGCGCTGCTTCTAATCCCGGCAGCTCCACATCCCATCCAACTTCCTGCTTGTGGACACCAACATGGGAATCAATTTGTGTCCTGGCTGCTCCACTTTCCATTCAGCTGCATGCTTATGTTCTGGGAAAGCAGAGGAATAGAGTTCAAGTGCTTGGGCCCCTGCACCCACATGGGAGATCTGGAAGAAGCTTCTGACCTCTGGCTTTAGATTTTCTCAGCTCTGGCCATGTGGCTGTTTTGCAAGTCAATCAGCAGATGGAAAACACCTCTCTCTCTGTTGTTCCTTCTCTCCCTGTAAACTCTGTCTTTTAAATAAAAATAAATCTTTTTTTTAAAGTATTTGAAAATGGGCCTGGCTCGATAGCATAGTGGTTAAAGTCCTTGCCTTGCACATGCTGGGATTCCATATGGGCGCCAGTTCTAATCCCAGCGGCCCCGCTTCCCATCCAGCTCCTTGCCTGTGGCCTGGGAAAGCAGTCAAGGACAGCCCAAAGCCTTGGGACCCTGCACCTGCGTAGGAGACCCAGAAGAGGTTCCTGGCTCCTGGCTTCGCATTGGCTCAGCTCCAGTTATTGCCCTGGGAAAGTGAACCGTTGGACGAAAGACTTTGTCTCTCCTCCTCTCTGTATATCTGCCTTTCCAATAAAAAAACAAGTAAATCCTAAAAAAAAAAAGTATTTGAAAACAAAAATGGAGGAAAGGAACTACATATACAGAGATGTATACTACACACGTCATTTAATACAATATTAAATGGTATTATCAATTCACATGTAGTTTGTCTTAATCCTTATAACTAAATCATCATTAGAAAAAAAGTAACTTACCCTTTTTACAGTATTTTAAAGTAAGGATTATTTATTTTTATTTGAAAGGCAGAATTACAGAGGGCAGAGCAGCAAAGACAAAGATCTTGCATATGTTGGTTCACTCTTCAAACCAGCCTGGCCCTGAAGTAATTCACTCTAGTGATCAAACCTAACCTTCCTCCATTAATAAGTTATTTTGATAATAAAAATAGCTAACATTTAAACATTTATTAGGCTGTATATAACTATTGCTAAGTGTTTCACCAGCACATTATACCCCTAAGTATATTTCTTCTAAAAGGAAATGTCTGCATTCTATGGTTAGAGAATAATAAAGCCCAAAATAACTTGACCACAACATAGAATCAATGAAATTGAACTCTTAACTAATTCACAGTTGCAGGGGGGGATTGGGGAGCTGGGAAGTGGAGGGTCCTAGGAACAGACCTGGTTCGGGAGTCAAGGGGATGCCCTGGCTGGGTCGTGGGTTCCACTGGTGAGCGCAGGGGCAAGAATGGGGAATGCGGTCTGGGTCTGAATATGGATGCAGTCTCCCCCAACACAGGTGTTGACTGGGTCTGGGGCGTGCAAGACTAAGCTATACCCAGCACCCATTGGAACTCGTGAGAACCAGGATGGATGTAGGACAGACTGGGCTAGATCTCTGTCCCTGCTGAACTATATGTGAGCTGTGCCTGGATGTGAGCCAGGTGTGTCTGGGCTGTAGCAACCAATAGTAAGTATCAAAATGGGTGAGTGCTGGTCAGGAAAAGTCACTGTTCCTGCTAGGACAGGAGGTGGACTAAGTAGGGCTGGCCCATGGACCCACCAGTGTGTGCAAGATCTGGTATTGAGAGAGGTCCTGATGGCAGAGCTCAGCAACTCCTCTGTTGGGACACAGTCCTTGCAGGTGAGCACAAGAACCAAGAAAGGGAGCAGCCAAGACCAGGTCAGCTGGCTGGGCTGGGCTAGGCTGTAGTCCCCACTAGTATAAGCTAGAACTGGTGGCAGGCAAGGCTGGGCCACGCTACAGCATCAACTGGAAATGCCGAAGTGAGGCAGGCCATACATACTGGACTGGGCCACAGCACCCAACCAGCAAATATGAGACGCAGGGGAGAGTGGGAGAAACCGGTAGGAGGGCTACAGGGAGCTCCCCTGCTGGGCCACTATTCCCACTGGTGAGTGTGAGAGCTGGGACTGGGGGCAGATCAGGCTGGACAAGGCTACAACACTTGTTGGCCTGCATGAAAGCTGGATAAGGGACAAGCCTGCAGGGCAAACTGGTACCTGCATAGGCCAGAATGGGTGAGGGTTGGGTGGGTTTTGCCATAGCATCGGATAGCAGATGATGGCATGGGAGGTAAACCCCATTGAGCAACTGCAGCACCACCTGGAGAATGCAAGATCCAGGAATTAGAGTGGACTCAGTATGGAAACAGTGGGCACCTCCCTCTTGGGTTGCCACTCCCACTGGTGAGAATGAGAACCAAGACTGGGACAGGCATGGCCAGATAGAGTGTGGCACCTGTCAGCACATGTGTGGGCTGGATAGTGGGCCTGGTTGGGTTGAACTAGGATTCAGTGCCCATTGACATGTATGAGAGCTGAATGGGAGGTGGGACAGACAGGACCAGTCTGCTGTACATACTAGCAAGCATGGGAACCAGGGCAAGAGGAGGGCCTAGTGAGAGTTATAATGGGTTGCTCCAACTAGGCTGCAGCTCCCACTGGTTTGCATGAGGGCAGAGTGTGCAGTGGGTAGGATCAAGTTGGACTGCAACATCAATTAGTTTGCACATAAGTCAGGGCTGGTAACAATTGACCCAGCAATTTCAATTAACAGTGTACATGTAGGCTGATTTGGTTAACAGACTGTGCTGGACCCTGTATTGGCATGCACACACAAAAATTAGGTGTGGGATCATCTTAGATGAAGTTTCTTTGGGAACCCCTCAACTGAACCGCTGAACTCAACTCCAACCCTGGAGGAAATTGCAGCAGGGTCCATGGTCTAACCGTGGAACCCATGTGTCAGAGCTGGGCCTCCTCAGTAGCTTAGACCATGCAGTGGACAGCATATCCAGTTGCACATGGAGGATTTGGCAGTACACTGGAGCCTGCAGAGGACACCTGGTACCATTACAGAGGACAGGACAGAACAAATCAATCAACTACCCCAGCCAAGAGTTGACACTGAATACCTGAACAAATGGAGACTCTAAGGTGGACTATGCCAGCCAGTAGAGTTTGGAGAGATTTCATTGTGATTGGAGTGGCAAGATAGGCAACAACACAGAACTGCTGAACTTTTAAAACCACTTGAGTAGGATCCTTGGAGCTTGCCCCACATTGGGGACCCTGATGGCTGAGAGGCTGGGTGTGGCTGTTGCCCTTATCCTTCCCCTCCTCCCAGATACAGCAAGGAAAAAGAGAATGTCACAACAATGGTCACACCCACCTTCCTCTAACCCTTGACCCTTCACACCTTAATCAAATATGTATCAAAAATAAAATTTATACAATAAAAAAGAAGTTAAAAAGTAGCCAATGCATTCGCTCAACTGATTAATGTTCTATTTCCAGGCACGGGCATCCCATATGGTTGCAGGTTTTATGTCCAAGCTGCTCCATTTCCCAATCTAGCTCCCTACTTATGGCCTGGGGAAACAGTTGAAGATGGCCCAATGCCTTCAGATCCTAAACCCACATTGGAGACCTAGAAAAAAAAAACACTTGGCTCCTGGCTCGTAGCTTGGGATTGGTTCAGCTTTGGCCATCGCATCCATCTGAGGAGTGAATCAGCAGATGAAAGACCATTCACTCTGTCTCTCCTCTCCATACATCTGATCTGCCTTTCCAATAAAAAGAAATATTTAAAAAAAAAAAGCAGCTAAAAAAATGGGAGTCAGTGTAATAACTTAAATAGCTAATCTTTTACTTGCAAGCACTAGCATCCCATGTGGGTGCTGGTTCATGTCCCAGCTGCTCTACTTACAAACCAGTCCCCTCTTTTGGCCTGGAAAACCAGCATAATGATGGCTCAAGTACTTGGGACACTACACCCACGTAAGAGACCCAGAAAGAGGCTCCTGGATTTGGATCAGCCCAGTTCTGGATGTTGTGGTCTGGTGGTGTGGCCACTTGGGGAGTGAATCACCATATAGAAGATCTTTCTCTGTCTCTCCTTTTCTGTGAAAATCTGCCTTTTCAATAAAAATAAAATCTTCTAAAACAATGTTTCAAAAAAAGAGACATGTGTGTACATCTCTGGGGCTCAGAAAAGGATGTGTCATGTTTCAATCATTGCCCTACAGTTTTATTCCTTCTCCTCATATGGTCTCATGGTGAGAGATGTGAATGTCCACGAAGTCATTTTATCTGTCTGACAAGGC